TCGATTTCGTCTTTCAGCTATACCATTCATGCTAGGTGATCCCGGCATGGTATACTGTGGGATAATTCCACACTCCTCTAGGTACCTGGCAAAAGGTCCTGGACGTTGTTCACCTGACCCGTCAAATCTGTCATAGTACTCACCACCACGATCAGATCTGATAGACTTAATTCTTTTATTCAGTTGATTTTCAACTTCAGCTTTAAATGTTTTGAACACGTCTAAAGATTGTGACTTTTCATGTATAAGGAATAAATATGCATATCGTGAGTAATCGTCTATGAATGATATAAAGTATTGTTGACCATTCCACGAAGGTGTAGGAAATGGCCCACAAATGTCCGTATGTATCAACTCTAAGACGTCTGTAGCTCTATATGCACCTAATCTCTTCGCTTTGGTCTGTTTGTCCTTAATGCATTCAACACAAACATCAAAGTTTGTGAAGTCAATGGACTCTAAGATTCCAGTTGACACAAGTCGTTCAATTCTATTTTTAGAGATGTGACCTAAGCGTCTGTGCCATAATGCTCCTGAGTGAGTATCATCAATTTTACGTTTAGTACCCCGTGATTCTGTATTAAGGATTTCGTTATAGGTGGTCACGAGTATCAAGTAAATACAGATTATCATAAGGCAAAAGTGAATCGGTTCCAATAATATCTCGAATTAAAAGACAAACTGAACTTATTGTTTCCAAATGAACACAAATAACCTAATTTGTCCAGATAAGAAACTGAAACCAAATTCCGTCTAAATGACGGCACAACAAAAGTGTCTTTCAAATCCAAATAAAAACCAAGTACTCAATAACAATTTAAAATGCCCTATGGCTTCCACCTCTACCGATTTGCCATCTCCAACATATATCCATCTTTCAGAATCAATTGGCTTCCGAGTAGCTTAGGCAACCCTTTATAGAAACACTCGATGTTAGTAGTTGCACCCGAGTCTAACCACCAAGTGTTACTAGGTACTCGACGCTAAATTGACTTCGTAACGAACCAAAGTAGAAAACATACTTTTGAGGATCAGAACATAATTTAAATTGGCAGATACGGAAGCAATTGTAGACTGGATTAGAACAAAAGAAATAAACTAATTATGCTCACATTATATAAAAAATAATTATAAATAAAATATATATTCAAATAATGGTTTAACTCATCTCAAGACACCCAATGCACCATCAATATCAAGTCTTTGGACGAGTAATATTAACTGCTAGAGGTATCTTGTTGTAATAATCAAACATTGACAATAAAACACGTCCAACAACAAACCAGTCTTTGGATTGATTTATCATCGACAAAACTAATCTTTATAATTATCACATGTTTATCATTACAAGTGTATATGCAATTCAGCCAAATATTAATCTTCCTTTGGGCCGACTAATACTCGCATGAATATACACAAACACTAACATTTAATATTTTTCACGAACTACCCAATTCAAGAGATGTTACTTTGGTAACTTTTAAACTACCAAATAAATTGAATATATTAATAAAGGTAATCCTAAACCAAATTAAGTCTCAAGGATCATTTCTAACAAAAATTGTACTATAATGCCACATATAATGGCTTTTTAATTAAGACAGCGGGTCCCACATTTTGATAGGTCCCCATGTAATTGGCAACCACGGGTTCTCTGCTTGCTTTTCTTCTGTGTTGAAACCGTGACCCGTCCAGGCCAGAGGCTTTCTCCAGAGATTTATTATGCTGCACACGGTCGCTGAAGCAACCCAAATCAACCCTAGAATTGTGCGCCGCTTCTCCACACCCAAAACCCGTGCGCCGCACCGCACCGACTACAGTGTGCCTCTGAACCCCAAGTCGTCGAGCCATCATCATAAACAGTCCTAATCCCGCGCCGTCACGGCAAAACAACCACACTCAGCGCGAGCTCCACCGCAGATTAATCTCTAGCCCCGCACACCACCCTCGTCTTCACCTTGCGGAGCCACTCAGAACCACTACCCAAATCCCATAACCACTGCATCATCTCCCACTCACAAACCACCACCAAGCGTCCCAAATAGTCACTCTCCCTCGATTTGGGAATTTGGGAATTTACCCCAAATTCGAAACTAGGTTTTAAAATTGGGAATTTTACCCCCAAATTTAAATTTATGGTTTAAAAAATTGGAGATTATTCTCCACTTAGGGTTCTGAATTGAATAGAATATTTGATAAATGTAATTTCCAAAAAACAAACATGAATCAAGTATGAGTTGCTCTGATACCATTTGTTGGAAAAACTGATAATTAAATATGATCTTCTTCCTAATGATCAAACATATATATATATAATCCCATACTGTAAACATGTTATAAACTAAATGCGAAAGCGTACCTGAATTAGCCATAATGATAATATTTTCTGTAGAGCACCTTTGATTTGATCTTATGGTCTTCCACCTGAAGAGCACCTGTATTTCCTTCTTGATTTTCTCTCTTGATGGGGATAGAAAGAAAGGAACGGGACTTTAACTACGTTCTGTCTACGTGCTCTCAAAAGGGGACCATGACCCTTTATATAACCAAAATTAGGTTAATTACTTAAGTTTTAGTATTTCCAATTTGGCCCCTCATCAAATTAGAAATTACTTTATGGTCTCTACACAATATTATTTTCATGACATATGTTTTTAGCCAAAACTTTAATTTATTCAGATCACTTTATTATTTGACTTAATAAATAATGATCCTAACACATTTAAATATGTATCATATATATACATATACATGACCCAAATTTTGGGAACAAGAAAGGTATAAATTTTTTGCAACTGCATGCGATAGAAGCGTTACTAAAAGCATGCAGAGTAAGCATACGTATTGGTATTGCTGTCACTTTATGATGACGTTGACCTTTGGAAACTTGTTGGTATTAAGTGGAAGTAAAGCGCTGTTCAGTAACTTAATTAACAGGAACATGTAAAGGACTAGGCAAAACAAACTTTGTGTGCAATTTTTTTATAAGATATAGTTTGAGGTTGGGTCCACTAAATATGTATATGTTGCATGACTCTGTGTGATATTAGAATAATATAATACGGTTATGACATGTTTTTACAAATTAAGATATGAAAAAAATATATTTATATGACATATATAATAAAAGAAGTTCTTAAATTATCAGGTAAATATAGTTTCATTAGTTTGTACATGACATCTCAACAAAACATATTAATATAACATTTGGTTCAAATCAAATTACATTCAGATTTCTAAAATGAAGTTTCATATTCAAATTTAGTGAATGAAAAAATATGTTTGAGAGATGAGAAACTTTGTTTAAAACTGGGTTAGTAAGACTATTTGACAAATATTAGTCATTTACAAAGTTAATATATATATATATATATATATATATATATATATATATATATATATATTCTTCAAATATATGAAGTTAACCTAATTATTAAAAAAAATATGGAAAGAAAACTTTTTCACTGGAAACCTATCAAATAATTTAATCTTGACATTTGTACATGTGGCTAGCACTTAAACTAAACGCATAATTGGTTATTTTTAATTAATTGTCGTTATAATTCTTGAAAGTAATTAATTAAAAAATAAATTTTAATTTGAATTCTATTAAATAAATTAGTCTTGTTATTAATGTTTGATTCATGTAAGTAATAAAGTGTCAGGTCACTTGGATGTTTAAACATTATCTCACAAGAGTAAAATGAAAGATTTTATGAACTCATTTGATAAATTTATGAAGGTACAAAAAGACTCACATCTTATACTTAAAATTTTGATGCAGAATAAGAAGGGGAGACAGGGCAAAAAAACTCACTATGGAGAAAACTACTTTGAAACTTCATGGCGAAAAGGGAGAAAGAGGGACGTGATGGAAAAAGAAATAAACCAAAACATGTTATAACTCTTTATCTCTTCTGTAGGTCAACGTGACTACTTAGCTTACCAGACTAATTTAAATGATGACTGTCCGAGATAAAGTCGATTATAACATGTTTTGGTTTATTTCTTTTTTCGTCACACCCCTCTTTCCCCCCTTTTTGTCATGAGGTTTCAGAGCAGTTTTCCCCATACTGGGTTTTTCTGCCCCTGTCCCCCATTCTTGGTATCAGAGCGAGAAATCCTCGGATACTTGAATATTTTTGCAATTGAACTGGTTTGTATTCGTTAGGATACCCAGCCAGTAGTAGGATAGGTTAAGGCCAGGGAGTGCCACGAGACCCTAAGTCCCACGAAGCTACCTTTGTGGGTTGAGGAATACTTTGCGCGATCTTTGCAAAAATATTTTCTTGTATATCATTTTTATTTATCTTCTGTTGTTTATCTCGTTTGTTTTTCTTTTTATCACTTGAAAAAAATATAAAAACAACAAATATTAATAAAAATAATAAAAAGATTTTCTTTTAAGCCTTATGATTATCTATATTCTTTTATAAATATTACTTTAGCTATATCACTTAAATAGGTTTCAGACTTTAGCAATCATTTCTTGAGAAGAGTGAACATCTTTCTCATGATGTATGTCATAATCACAGATTACGGCTGCAGTCCATTGCTCAATATATGTTGGCAATAGCCGAGGATCTATTCCTCCTATGTTTAGAAGAAGATTAGGCATCTGGAAGTTTGACTCTATCGGAAGTCTTTTGCCTAATGTTGTGTATTGGTTGTCGTTAAAGATAACATTTTGTGGTGATACTCTAGGTGGGAAACCAATAGAGTAACTGTATATACCATTTCGTTTCAACTGATAACTATGAGGTTGGAAATAATTTGATTTTGTGTTAACGAACCCAATCAAAGCCAGTTAAATGTTGTCTAAGACTAAAGTCCTAGGCAGTTAAATATGTACATACTTTTTACTAAAATATAATATTTAACTAATCCAATATTTACATGGATATGCTTATTTATAACATCATTTTGATGCAAATTAAACTTAAGCAAAGGGATACATTTGATGATATTAAAATATATCGCTACATAAACTTCTAAAACAACTATGTTATGCTCAATGGTTTCCACAAAAAGTTTGATGAATTCGAAATGGATATTGTTGAGGTTGTTGAGATTGACCTCCTTCCACCATCGACAAGTTTGAACCATTGACTTGCAGGGTCACATTTGTTATCTTTACTCAAACATTTACAAGTATTAGTCACAATGATGTTGTTATCATCTACATCTAAACATACATTAGAACCATCACTTAGTTTAGATGAAAGATGCATGTTCGAATCTGAGATCATTTTCCATTTAGAGTTAGGATCTGAGCATGTCATGCTAAGTGTTGCAGGCTTCTTTTCTCTCTCTGCATGTATGCATAAGTTTGAATTGTCTACCAATAATAGAGTCTTGTGAGATGTGTATTCCCAACCATCAGAATCAGAACAAGCACCCAATGTTAATGTATTTAGTTCTGATTTACTTATAACACACAGACCTGTCAAAGGATGAAATATAAGTTTGTGTGAATTTCCTTCTATGATACCTGGTCCTGCACAATGAAAAACAAACCATCATAATATTAAATTGGTAAGGACATTTAAAACAAATTCATAGTGCAAAACTATGAAAATATTATTTACACAAATCATGTGAAATATATGTTAAGAAGCCAAAAATATGAATTGAAAGTACCAAAAAGATTTTAGTTTAGATATATATACCTCTAAATGGAAGTTGGAGGGCAGTGATTCTGTTTAAGAAGCTGACACTCCTAACTTGATTCCAATCCCAAGTGAGAACTCCATAAAACTCTTCCATTCCAATGACACCTTCTCTGAAGTAGTAACTGCCAACAAGTGTCCAGTAGGCCCAATCCAAATCAAGCTCAGCTACTAATGCCATGAAACAATTAAGGTATCTATTGTCATTCACATTAGTACCTCTCAAATCTCCACCAAACTCACTCAAAAACAATGGCCATCCTTGGCCTAGTAAGAAACTAGATGTTCCTTTTACATTATCTATCACTTTTCCACATACTTGGTTTGGGTTTCCATCAACCCAAGCTTGACCATCGGTGAAGCCATATCTATGCACCTCAAATACTAGTTTTCCTTCAAATGTAAGTCTTACTGGTTGCTTCTGAATAAATGATAAATCTGTATCGAAATTTAAACCAGATAAAATGACAAGAACATCTGAATTTGCTGCATGAACCGCTTCTGCTCCTTTTACCATGTACCTTCAATTCAAAATTACCATCAAAACCATAGTACAAACAAAACAAGTAAGGAATTATGGGGTCTCAAAATTAATGTGTTCATTTTTCTGTTTAACCTCTCATTTTTTCACTTGTCAATACTATCAACCTAGTATTCCAATTCTCATGATGAGTTACTGTTGAACGTGATTGAGTTAAAGATCAAGAACAATTATAGTTGTTATCTTATCACCTACTTGTACCAATCATTAACATTCTGTTTAGATCCTCGTAGTTCATTCCTCAAGCTTATACCAACCACTGCAGTAACTTCCTTGAAAAGGGTGGCCATCTTGGTGAGGCCCAATATCCACTCATTTGGGTTGAAAAACTGATCGTCGAAGAAGCCATTTCCATCTGTGTTACCACAACACCATCCTGGCTCGGTCACGTGGTTGTCCAAAATCACCATCACATCATTCTCTCCAAGACTCTTCACCACTTCCTGCATAATTCATGGTTAACGAAACAGTCACACATACATATATAACTATTTTGGGTTAACTTCTTTGATAGTAAACTATGATTACTTTTTTTTTTAAAGAAAATATCTTGATTTATTTTAAATTGTTGAATTTTTCCTATACATGATTTTTATTTCAAATTTCTAAATACCTGTTTACAACTAAAGGTAGTCGGGGTGCAGTTTGCTTTAATTTTATACTAAAAAGTTATTTAAATTAAATATAAAATTTAAATACGATTAGATTTGGTTTAATTTTAATTTTTAAAAATATCACAATCATATCAAATCAATATTTTACAGTTGTAAATTTTGTTTTATAGAATTGCTAAATATATTGTAATAAAATAATTATTAAATAAAGCATATATTTAAAATTATCATTTATAATTAATTGTGATATTTAAAATTTCAATTTATTCTGTATACTTTTACATTTCATTTAAATAATAAAAATATGGTAAACCAAAAACTGATCCGATAGATTATCAAAAATTTCAATTCAAAAAATAAAATAAAAGGTAGATTTTGATCAATTTTTTATTTTATTTAATTTGTTCAATTTTGAACATCCTTATTTACAACTCAAGATATTAACAAAAATTGAAACATTAAAATTGGTATAAATTTTATAAATAATATATTTAAAAAATCACTTAAATATAATATTTCTTAATTTATTTGTCTAAATATATACATTTTTTTCTCTTTTTTCATAATTTTTTTTTCTATTCGTTTATTCCTTATATTTTTCTCTTTTTTTAAAAAAAAAATATGCTTCTTATTTTTCTCTCTCCTTTCCCCTTATTTTTTTAATTAAAAAATTATATATTAAAATTTAATAAAAACATGTTACGATTATTTATTTAAAATCTAACATTGAAAAAAAAATGAAGTAATTATATTTAAAATTACGATGATGATAAATAATTTTATTTATGATAACATAAATAAATAATTAATTTAAAATTATTTAATCATAATAAAATAATTATCTAATTAAAAAATATTAAATATTTATACATAAAATGTATCTTTTATATAGTAACTTAATTTACTTATAATTAGGTTGAATAATAATTAGTCAAATTAGGTAATTAAAAAATTATTTTAAAATAAATATTTAACTTTTTTTAATAATTATAACATAAATATATTAAAATTTATCGAGAAGAACAAAAGGAGAAGAAGAAAAATAAAAACAAATGAAAAAAATAAATAGAGGAAAAAAATAAGAAAAAAATATCGTACAAATTTATTTATTAAATTTTTTATGTAAATACTAAATAAATGTAAGTAAATAAATTTACATATATTCTACTTAAAAGCAAATTTTATTTTTAAATATATTAACTTTAAAAAATTGATGTTTCTTTTTAATAACATGACCTAAGTGTCAAATTATTGGACTAAATGTGTAAAAGATAAGATTATTTCTCAATCATATCAAATCATAATCTTTTTAGTGTAATTAAGAGTTATTCACATTTTAAATCTTTTAGTATATTTTTGGAATTTTAGTTCCTTACTTCTTCTTCATCTTTTTTCAATTAAGTGAGTTTCTTTAGTTTTACACTTTTATTGGTTTAATTGTTTTAAATATATTGTATGTCAAAATGCACTCCTTTAAATTATCAAAGTTTGTTCGAAATTAAAAATAAAAAAAAAACTTTTTATAAAACCCTAATTTTTATACTATTGTTGGTTCGAGTGATTCTAGACTTTATTTTTATAAATAAGATCTTAAATTTAAAATATATAAATAAATAAAAAGTGTGATTGAAACAAGAAAATCTAATTTCTTTTAGATAATCATATAATTGACACGGATTATCTATTAGTTTTATTTATAACTCCAAATGGTCATTATTAATAGGTTCATCGCTACAAAATATACTTTATACGTAGTCATTGACGACGTAGAAAGTACTTTCCACGCTCGGTTCCTAGATAAACCGACGTTGAAAGTTGAATATTAAACACATTCTACGTCGGTTCTTAGTCAACCGACGTTGAAAGTTTTTTTTTTTTTTTCACCCAAAACTCACTTAAATTTGAAAATTATCATTGGCAGGATTCGAACCCAAGTACTTTAAAGTTGGAGGTCGATACTCCAACCACTAAACTACTAAAATTTTCTCGATAATAACTTACAAATAAATTATATTTATATACAAATAAATATATATCAATGTAAATATATATTTATTTGTATATAATTTCGGAAAGTATTTTTATTTTTTTTTCAGCCAAAAATTCTCTTAAGTTAATGAATTGTCACTGATAGCATTTGAACCCAGTATTTTAGGGTTGAAAGTTAATATCCCAACCACTAAACTACTATAATTTTTTTATAATAACTTACAAATAAATTATATTGGTATTTTTCGATCGAGAGTGAAAGTGTGATTGACTCTTGCTTGAGTGAAAATATGTTAAAGCTCACGGAAATTCACTCACTCAAGTCTCGCTTGAGCGAAAATTGGTTTTTTTCGCTTGAGAGCAAATAACGTGTTTCCCAAATTTATTTTATATCATTATATAAATAAAATTATAAAGATTATATTCTGTCATTAAATTACAAACTCATATAAAGATACATATTCACAAATTTAGCATCAAATTTTGAAAACCCACTCGACACACACTTTCACTTTCGAGTGTGCCCTCACATCCAACATATAAATATATAACTATATAAATATATCAAAATATATAAATATATTTTTATTTATATATTTATATATTTACACGAATATATATTTATTTGTAAGTTATTATCGAGAAAATTCTAGTAGTTTAGTGTTTGGAGTATCGACCTTCAACTCTAAAGTACTGGGTTCGAATCCTACTAATGAAACTTCTCTTAATAAATTAATAAATTTCTAAAAAATATAATATAAAGAAATGGAGGACCTAATAAAAATATAATATAAAACGGGTTCGAATCCTGCTAATGACAAGAGAGGGGAGACTTCTAGATAAATAAAAGGGGTAAAAGGGTTGTAAATAAATAAAAATTATTAATTTAAAAAATCATACTTGGAGGACCTAATAAAAATATAATATAAAAAGGGTTCGAATCCTGCTAATGACAAGAGAGGGGAGACTTCTAGATAAATAAAAGGGGTAAAAGGGTTGTAAATAAATAAAAATTATTAATTTAAAAAATCATACTTGGAGGACCTAATAAAAATATAATATAAAAAGGGTTCGAATCCTGCTAATGACAAGAGAGGGAGACTTCTAGATAAATAAAAGGGGTAAAAGAGTTGTAAATAAATAAAAATTATTAATTTAAAAAATCATACTTTCGACGTTGAACGTTTTATTTGTAGCAGTGGTTCTTCCATTTCAATAATAATTTTCATCTACAAATACTCAAACTTGAATATTTATTTAAAGAATTGAGTAGAATATATATATATATATATATATATATATATATATATATATATATATATATATATATATATTCTCCTCTGCTCTATTTTTCTTTTAAAAAAATAAATATAGATTTGATGAACACCTGAAATGTTCAATTATATTTAGAGGAAAAAAAGAGGATAGTTTTAAATAATGTGATAGAAAAAAAAAAAAAAAGAAGAAGCACGTAATAGTGCTTTATTTTGTAATTTTAAAAATAGTACTATATAGGACGTATCATATTATTATTAATACACAGTACACATTTAAATAACAATGTACAATAGGAAACACTATACAAAAATCATTAAAAAAAATCAAGGTTATTTAATTAAAAACAAAAACAAAATATGTCCAATTAAACTTACAACAAAACTAATCACGTAAAAAAAATATTTTTACAGAACATATACGTATTTTTTTATAAAAAAAAATTTAATTAAGCAAAAGATATTAGTTTAAACTTTATTTCCTTTTTATGTTATACTGTTATTGAATAAAGAGATTAGAAAATTAGAGATAATTTATACGATTTGTTTAAGTTAATTTGGAGGAATTATTGAAAAACAATAGTGGTTCCATTAACTTATAAAAGATTTTTCTATTGATAATTTTTTTTAAACGAGACAGATGTTATTAAGCATATATATTTGTTACACTTTTTTTTTGTCAATAACAAATTATCATAAATCTTAAATTTATCAAAGTATCTTCTTAACATAAATAAAAGATACTGAAATTAATTTGTAATTAATTGACAGATTATACCAACAAAGTATACAAGGTGAATATGTAAATTAATTATGAATGACAGTATTAAAAAACAGGTTATTTGTTTGGCACGTTATTGATGATGAATCTAATGACCCCAATAAGTCAATGCCATCGATCACATCAATCATCATTAGTGGCAATAACATTCACAAACAAAAATAAAATAAAAATTACGAGCATAATAACCAATTTCAATTTCTATTTTTAGTAATATATAAAATGAAAAATAAAATTTAAATTTCAAAAATTAATCATTAGGAAGTAACGGAATTAGGTAAGAAATAATTATTAGTTGACTTGCCTGAAAAGCTTGGAGGAGGGGAAGATCGACGATGGAGGGGTTGTTGGTTTGGACACCGGCGACGGATTCAAGGAGGCCGAACCTCAGAAAGGAGCTTCTAACGGTGAGAGAAGCCAGAGAGTCGTTGGTGGCCAAAAGTGTGGGCCAAGTGAGCCTGACGCAGTTGAAGCCCATGGACTTTATTCCCTTGGAAATCTCATCCACGGGCTTTTTGCTCAGCCCTTCCGCCACCGCCACCTCCAAGTGGGAAACCCAATTCACACACGCCAGCTTCACCCTCCGCCCATCTTGGCCGACGATCCACCGGGAATCCGTCCGAAGCAAGCCCGTGACGGCCTCTGTGCTATCAACTTCTTTCACCGTAGCTCCGAGGAACAACGATATTGCTATTATCGGCACAGAGATAATGGTGAAAACCATCATGCACCACCACCTACTTCCCGTTTCCATTTCTATTTTTGACACTCTTCACTCCACAAACACGCCGTTATGTATATTCCGCAACATTGCTTTCTTTCTTTTTTTATTCATGCGGCAAACTTTGTGTCTATCTGTGTTTTTTTATTAAACCACGTGAGAACATGACATTTTTGTTTATTATTTATTTACTTTAATGAACCACATATGTGTGTTTTTTATTCTTTATAAACCAATTTTTTTTCTCTTTTTAAATCATATTATATCTCCCATAAATGTAATCAAATAATTGTATAATTAGACTTGGAGTTCAAATGTTGTTATAAAATAAAACAATTATACGTGAATTTATTCATGAATGATGTTTCTTTTTCATAGTGTTTATCAAAGTAATCCCTTTTTGAGCTGTGAACGTTGTTTTGTAGTGTTTCATGGACTTTCGGCTTTATCTACTCTTTTAGGTGAGATCCGGCTCTATGTACTGTACTACTGTTTATCTTTTACTTTGTTTATTTTTTATTTACAAAATACTTGTAGTTTTGATACATTATATTAATAACGGTTATTATTATACATGCTCAAACATTAATAATTTATTTTTGAATTATTTAATTATTTTTATTCTTATTTAATACAATTACGCATGGAATGCCATTTTAATAAGAAAATCACAAAAACAATATAATTACAAATTTGACGCACTTAGTAAGTTTGAATAACAAAATTACTTTCAAAAATATATTTTAATTAAATATGTTTAAAGTTCTTATTTTATGCTTTTTTCATCATTTTGGTCTTTAATTCTTTTTTTATCTTTTAAATAAAATTTTATCATGTCAGTCTCTTGTATTAGAGCTGCATCAATTTTTACTGATTATATCATATGATATATAAATTGTTCACCAATATATATGGTTCCAAGCGGTAGATGACCTAACCTTCTTTTAGTCACATCAATAAGAAAAATTAATGGAAGAACTAAAATTATAATATTTGAATGATTAAACCAATAAAAGAAAACTAGAAAGAGAAAAGGATAAAATAAATATATTAGAAAAACATCAAACTTTTTTAATCATGGTCAAATATTAAAATAACATTTTTTTAGAGTAGAAATCTGCTTCAAAGTTTGGAAATAGTAAATATGGTGATTGTTGAAAAAAAAAATTTATAAGGACGAAAAAATCACTAATGTACCTATACTTTTTATAATAAAAAAATTTAATGATTTCAAATTTTTATTTTAATTATTGTGGTTCGAACTAGAGTTTGGACAAGTTCCACCACGTGTCGATTATATTTGACCAAAAAAATTGATATAAATTTAAACTTCTCTAAAAATTGATAATTCTTTTTTGTCATTTTTTTTTACTATTTTGGTCTATAAAATTTCATCATTTTTATATCTATCTCTTAATTTTTACTGATGTTACTTACAAAAAGTCATATAATTCCTTAAGTAGAACTACATGATCTCTTTATTAATTCTTCATAGTTTCATGTAGTAGTTGACTTGATGTTCCATTAATTATGTCAACAACAATTAGCGAAAGTCTAATAGAAATAACTAAATACAATAAAATTTAGAAATTGAGAGTAAAAGAAAAAAAAAGACCAAAACGATAAAATGTGCGTATATATTTTAAAAAAACTTTGAACATTAAGTCAAATTATTTGAGATTAAAATCATGTTTACATTTTTTTTTCGTAAGTTTTATAGAAAAGGAAAAAATTGACACATGAAATTGTCTTATATATAAATATTTATTAGAAGTTCTTAATTAATTTCGAGAAATAATATTTATAAGTTATAAAAGAGATTTATTTTGCTTTTACACTTTTTTTCACCTATAAATGGTGACACTTATAAAAAAATAAGTACCAAGTAGCGTCACTATATTGATCCCCTAAATTTTATGACAAGTTAACAACCTAAATTTTATGACAAGTTAACAACCGTTATGAAAAGACAAAGTGTAAGTATTGATTGAATATATAATTATTTTTCTACATACATATATAATTCATATGGTAAATAGATATTATTTATTAATTTGAAAAAAAAATCTACTTTATTAGCTTTGAATGGTTGTGCAAAATTATGGACTAAAATTCACTTATTATGTAAATTTGATTACCAACAAATAATTGACTTTCCATGCTAAATACTTAATGCTTTACTATAAATTTTAATCTATCTTTTTTATCATACTATTAAAATTATTATTTGGTTAATTAGCATTAAAGGTGGTTAAATGGTATATTCTATATTATAATAAAAAAAATGTGCATAATGATGTATGATTTTCCTAATATTGAAACATAAGAAAGAGGTACAGTACTTTCTATGAATACAACATAATTAGAGAAACTAAATGATAATGTTACTAAAAACAACTTATATTGAGCTTAATGATTTCCATAAAAGGTCTGATGAATTTAGCATTGACGAAGAGGAGGTTGTGAAGGTTGACTTCCTTCCGCTGTCAACGAGTTTGAACCATTGACTACTGGGGTCGCATGTAGGATCTCTGCTCAAGCATTTGCAAGCATTGGTTACAATAATGTTGTTGTCATCAACATCTAGGCACACATCAGAACCATCACTAAGTTTGGACGAAAGGTGCAACTTTGAATCTGAGATCATTTCCCATCTAGTGTTAGAATCTGAGCATATTCCCACAAGGCTTGCAGGCATCCCTTCATTCTCTGCTTCAATGCAGAAGTAAGTACCCTTTATTGATAGAATTTTTTGGGGTGTGTAGCTCCAAGCATCAGATAAAGAACAAGGACCTAATGTAAGTGGGTCTAGTACTGACGTTCTTATCACACACAAACCCGTTAAAGGATGGAATATCAATTTGTATGGATTGCCTATTGTTATGCCTGGACCTGCATAATTCATGTCAAGTTTCATCAACTGCTAAATTGGTAGCTTAAACCTATGATGTCATATTATAACTATGGAAGTAATCATGCACATACCTCGAAATGGAAGTTGGAGGGAGGAGATTCTGTCTAAGAAACTGACATTCCTAACTTGGCTCCAATCCCAATTAAGAATCCCATAAAACTCTTCCATTCCTACAACGCCTTGTCTAAAGTAGTAGCTTCCAACGAGTGTCCACAAGGCCCAATCCAAGTCAAGCTCAGCCGCCACTGTCAAGAAGCAGCTAAGGTAGCGGTTGTCGTTCACGTTGGTGCCTCTCAAGTCTACACCAAACTCACTAATAAACAGAGGCCATCCTTGGTTCACCAAGAACCCAGAGGTTCTCATCACATTTCCAACCACTTGCCCACATACTTGGTTTGGGTTTCCATTGACCCAAGCTTCACCATCAGTAAAGGCATACCAATGAGCCTCAAATACTAATTTTCCCTTGAATGTCAGCTTTACTGGTCGTTTTTGAATGAATGACAAGTCCTTGTCAAAATTTAGACCGGATAGAATGACAAGAACATCAGGATTTGCTGCATGGATTGTTTCTGCTCCTTTCACCATGTACCTTTGGTTTAGAACAACATATTAGTCACATGAAAACTTTCTTTCTTTCATTTTCTTTTTGTTTTTAATCTAAATAATAATTTTTCCCTGACAAAATAAACCACCAAGAACACAGCTGAGATAAAGTAAAATATTTTTATTACATGTTTATTTTTTAAATAGTTTACGTTGGAGCAAATACAATTTAATTTCCTCGCGAATGTGTTCCATTTTTCTCGTTAAAATTTCCGAGGAGTACTAGAAATTCATTCTATTTTATGAGTTAAGTATGGTTAAAAACTAGAATATCAGAAGAAAAGATGATTATATAAGATTTGACAACTACGATTTTTTTTTTTCATTTGCAATAAAATTTCAACAATTGTATAATTATGCATAATTATATAAACTGAGATGATTTTAGGAATTTGGAGGGATGGATGAAGTAGTAGCTGTTTTGACTTACTTGTACCAATCGTCCACGTTTTGTTTGGGTCCTCGGAGCTCATTCCTCAAGCTCATACCCACCACATTAGTGACTCCATTGAAAAGTGTGGCCATCTTGGTGAGACCCAATATCCACAGATTTGGGTCAAAAAATTTGTCACCGAAGAACCCATTACCGTCAGAGTTACTGCAACACCACCCTGGTTGTGTTACGTGGTTGTCCAATATCACCATCACATCGTTGTCTCCAAGACTTTTCACCACCACCTACGATCATCACAAAAATGTTGCCCACAATCAATCGAACTTGAACTTCCATAGAAATAAAAAAGGTAGAAGAAAAATAAATTTAAGAGAGATATTGATTTAATTTATAACTTGTTATGATAAAAAAAAATACTACTAAAGAATATTAATTAGCTAAAGACAAACAAAATAATCTATTCAACAATCTACGGCATAACGTAGGTGGTGATTACTAAGGAAGTTAGTTGGAGAAAGCTACTTGATAATGAATAACCACCATAAGTCAATCGCCATCAAATCGGGAACACATCATCAGTGTGATAAGAATAATGGAACAAGATATGGACCAAGTAATCCAGATTAGTAAACAAAGTGGTTAGGTTAAGTAAATAATCGAATAAAAAACTGAAAATAATTTGCCTGAAAAGCTTCGATGAGGGGAAGGTCGATGATGGAGGGGTTGTTGGTTTGGACACCGGCGATGGATTCAAGGAGGCCAAGGCTCTGGAAGGAGCGTCTAACGGTGAGAAAAGCCAGAGAGTCGTTGGTGACCAAAAGTATGGGCCAAGTGAGCCTGACGCAGTTGAAGCCCATGGACTTTATTCCCATCGAAATCTCATCCACGGGCTTTTTGCTCAGCCCTTCCGCCACAGCAACTTCCAAGTGGGAAACCCAATTCACACACGCCAGCTTCACCCTCCGCCCATCTTGGCCCACAATCCATCGGGAATCCGTGCGAAGTGGAAGGCCCTTCACAGCCACGGGCCTAACTTCAAGTATGGCTCCAGAGAACAATATTATTTGCGCAGAAAGAAGATTGAGAAGCCAAGTGCAGTTCTTCATTTTCGTGTTTCTTTTGTAATATAAATATTATTGATGTTGTATGGCTATGGCATACCGCATGCGCATGTCATTCTGCACTAGCGAGATTTATATTCACGGTTGAACAAGCAAATAAATACGATGTGGGATTAGTGACGTCGCAAAATGAATATTAAAGTTGAAGCCACTTGCTGTTTTGAGTGATGTTATCTTATCTTTTTTTGAAGTAATATATATTCCTTATAACGTATTTCCTACGTACTCAATTATAAAACTAATTATCTTCATATTAAAATAATATTTAAGTTTATTCAACATTTTTATTTCATATCATATAAATATATTTAAATTAAGAGTGTAAGTGTAATTTGATAAAATATCAGGAAATGTAACTGTATATTAATTTATAAACGGATATATAAATTCTTGGTGTCCACCTTTTCGTAATATAATTTTACCTGTATTATATTTATAACTACTTATTTTTATAACCTTTGTTTTATTATGATAAATTTCTTCTTTTACCTTTAAAAATATCGATACACATACATTTTACATCATGAGTTTTGTTAGAAATAAGTCAAACAAACTAAAATACTGTTTTACGTTACAGTTTCTGTTATTTCTGTCTTTGTACTGTGTATAAATACGTTCTTTCATATTTTACGTGATGTACGTCGTTTCCAGTTATTCTTCTGCATGCATGCATAGTTTCTATATGGTATCAAGAGCCAGAACGGTTTAGGGAAGGGATTTCCAGTCCTTGCTGTGTGTGGCGTGTCAGGGTGCTCTTTGTGAAGCACATACGTGTGAAGTTCAAATCATGGCTGGACTGAGTGGATTCATTCCTGGAGGGTTACCCATGTTTGATGGAAGCTGTTTTGATGACTGGAAGATCAAAATGCATGCGGTCTTTGGATTCCAAGATATGGCTGAAGTGATCGAAGATGGCGTCATTGATCCCGGCAGCAAGGCATCAGATGAAGAAAAGAGGAATTACAAACAGATGCAGAAGATGGATAGCAAAGCCAGGTTTTTGCTATATCAATGTGTGAGTTCTGAGATCTTTAACAAAATTTCAATGGCTGAAACGGCTAAAGAAATATGGGAGATTCTCGTCAAGACTTATGGAGATAGTGACAAGCACAAGCGAGTGAAGTTGCAGGCCCTACGTAGAAGCTTTGAATTCTTGATAATGGAGGACAACGAATCTGTGGCGAGTTACTTCAACAAAGTTCAGAGTGTGGTTAACGCCATGAAAAAGCTGTAACGAGACATTGTCTCAAGAACACGTGGTAAACAAGATTCTTCGTTCTTTGCATCCAAAGTTCGATCATCTTGTTATCACAATTGAAGAAACAAAGGACATCGACAAGTCGAGTATTCAAGAATTACGAGCACTCGTTGGAGGCTCACGAACTGCGCATGAGTGATCGCAAATCGTATCAGGAGTTGGTTCTTCAAACAAGAACATCATCGAAGCCAAAGAAAGATACCAAGAAGGGTTACAAATCCAATAAGAAGACTGATCCAGAGTCGAGAGAAGGTGAATCAAAACAGGGCGGGAATGTGAGTAAAGAGAAGGTGTTTAACAAAAAGCGAGTGAAATGCTATAACTGCCAGAAGTATGGTCACTTCGCACGCGACTGCTGGCATGGTGATGGAGCGAAAAACAAACCCAAGTCTCAGTCTCGGGCAAATCTCGCACAAGAAGAGTCGTCCGATTCGAAGTCTGTTTTACTCATGGTTAAGACCAAGAACGAAGATAATGATGATGATGCATGGTATCTTGATTCCGGGTGTTCTACCCATATGACTGGCCGGAGGGAGTGGTTTGTGAAATTGAGTAATGAGACTCAAGAACGGGTGCGATTTGCAGACGACAGTTGTTTGCATGCAGAAGGAAATGGACGAGTCGTGTTAAGAAGCCTCGAAGGAGAAGAAGTTATAGTCGACGACGTCCTGTATGTCCCTGGGTTACGAACCAATTTACTAAGTCTTGGCCAGTTAATGCAGAAAGGGTTCAAGATGGTTCTGGAGGAGAATTCCCTACGGGTCTATGATCAAACAAAGAAGCTTGTCATTTGTGCTGCATTATCATCCAATCGTACGTTCAAGGTAAAAATAACAACGTTAAACCATAAGTGTTTTGCAGCTGCAGTGAACAGAGAAGAGTGGCTGTGGCACTTACGCTTTGGTCACTTGAACTTCAAAAATTTGAGTGAACTGAGCGTTAAAGGAATGGTTGAAGGGATGCCTCGTGTGTCTGTGCCAGAAGAAGCGTGTCATGACTGTGTGCAATGCAAGCAAACGAAAAGTAAGTTCAGCAAATTCGTTGCCACCAAAACAACGAAGGAGTTAGAATTGGTATATTCTGATCTTTGCGGACCATTGCCTGTTGAAACACCTGGGGGTAGTCGATACTTTGTGACCTTCACGGACGATTACACCAGGAAGCTATGGACGTTCTGCCTAAAGCGAAAAAACGAGGTCTCTGACACATTCAGGAGGTTCAAGAATCTCGCTGAAAAACAGAGTGGGTGCATGATACAGCGACTACGGTCTGATGGAGGGGGTGAGTACAACTCACTGGAGTTTCAAAACTTCCTGACTGAAATGGGAATCACACACGAGGTTACACCACCTCACACACCGCAACATAATGGAACCGCTGAGAGGAGAAATAGAACTCTTCTCAACATGGCTCGATGTATGCTCAAGAGTAAAAACGTGCCTATGTATATGTGGGGAGAAGCAATTGCAACAGCAACTTACATTCTAAATCGCACACCTACGAAGAGGTTGGAGGGAGTTACACCAGAAGAAGCATGGTCAAAGCAGAAGCCAGATGTCAAGCATCTGCGAGTTTTTGGTTCTCTGTGTTTTCATAAAGTGCCTGAAGTGCAGCGAACCAAATTAGACGACAAAGGAAAGCCTATGGTGATGATTGGTTATCACACTACTGGAGGGTATAAGCTGTTTAACCCCGAAACCAAGAGTGTAACTATCAGCAGGAATGTAGTCTTTGATGAAGCTTCTGGTTGGGAATGGGAGACAAATAAAGCAGCAGAGGTGGTCCCAATTATTGCGCTAGAACCTGATGATGCAGCAGATTCTGGTGAGATTGAACCCAAAGAAGATGTTCAAGCAGCTTCGAAGATCCCAGCGTCAAGGACAACAACCAACTCGTTTCGAGAGATTATGAAATGTTTGGTGTTATTATCGAAGAAGGAAACCCGAGTGCATTTTGCATTGGCAGCAGAGGCGGAGCCCGTGGAGTTTGAGGATGCTATGCGTGATGAGAAATGGAGAGAAGCGATGTGTGAGGAGATAAAGTCCATTGAACGTAATGGAACGTGGAAATTGGTTAATCTTCCACCGCATAAAAGGCCCATAGCACTGAAATGGGTATTCAAGGTGAAAGTAAATCCCAAGGGAGAGGTGATAAGGCATAAAGCCAGGTTAGTGGCTAAAGGATATTTGCAAAAGGCTGGGACTGATTTTGGAGAAATATATGCACCCGTTGCTAGACTCGATTCAATCCGAGTAATTATCGCCATTGCAACAATAAACAAGTGGAGAATGCATCAGCTAGATGTAAAAGCAGCTTTTCTAAATGGAGTACTTGAAGAAGAAGTATACGTAACTCAACCGCCAGGATTTGAGGTTAAGGATGATAAACTGAAAGTTTACAAGTTAATCAAAGCTCTTTATGGCTTGAAGCAAGCCCCACGTGCTTGGAACAAAAGAATTGATCAGTTTATGCATCAGATTGGTTTTGAAAGATGCACCACGGAGCAAGGCTTATATGTGAAGCACTGGATCAACAATGGTCAAGAAGAAAAATTACTTGTATGCCTCTACGTAGATGACATGCTTGTTACAGGAAGTAAAGCGAAATATATCAATCAGTTCAAACATCAGATGACCACTGAGTTTGAAATGAGCGACTTGGGGGAACTCAATTACTTTTTGGGAATTGAATTCATACAGACAGAGCATGGAATGTTAATGCACCAGGCAAAATATGCGAAAGACTTGTTGAGTAGGTTCAAACTTCAAGACTGCAACACAGCAGCTACACCAATGGAAACAGGGTTGAAGTTGGGAAAGAATGAAGATGAGGAACCTGTGGATGAATCAGAATTCAGGAAAATGGTTGGGTGCTTGAGGTATTTGTGTTGTACAAGACCTGACCTGAGTTTTGCAGTGGGCATAGTGAGTAGATTCATGCAGGAACCTAAACAAACCCACTTGAATGCTGTGAAACGTATCATGCGGTATGTGCAAGGGACAAAGAACCTTGGCTTGCTGTTTACAGACAAAGGGTGCGAAGGAAGTGTTGAATTGAAGGGGTACGCAGATGCTGATTGGTGTGGAGATCAGATTGATAGGAAGTCCACTGCGGGTTACATATTTTTCCTCTGCGGGTCACCTGTCTCATGGCATTCCGTGAAAGAACCGGTTGTAGCTCTTTCTTCCTGTGAAGCAGAGTACATTTCTGCTTCTCAAGCTGCGTGCCAAGCTGCTTGGTTAGCAATGCTCTTAGAAGAGTTAAAAGTGAAGATGAATTGCTGTCCAAAATTAATGGTGGACAATAAATCTGCTATAGACTTAGCAAAACATCCTGCTGCTCATGGTAGAAGCAAACACATTGAAACCAGGTTCCATTTTTTGAGGGAGCAAGTCAATCAAGGGAAGCTTGAAATCATTTATCGTAAATCGAGGTTCAGGTTAGCGGATATCTTCACCAAAGCATTAAAAGGGGAGAGGTTTAGGTATCCGAGACAATCCATTAGAGTTGTAAAACCTGTTTGACTTAAGGGGGTGTGTTAGAAATAAGTCAAACAAACTAAAATACTCGTTTTACGTTACGGTTTACGTTATTTCGTCTTTGTACTCGTGTATAAATACGTTCTTTCATATTTTACGTGATGTACGTCGTTTCCAGTTATTCTTACGCATGCATGCATAGTTTCTATAAGTTTTTCACTATTAATATTATAATTTTAATGTATTATAAAAGAAAAAAAATAGCATTGATTGATTTTCTCGTCAAATTTGTGTTTAACGTGGCTTGCTTGGACGATTAATTTTATAATTAATTGTGAAAAGAAGAGTGTATGACGGCATGTGTTAAATTTCTAGAAAAGATTTATAATTTTGATTGAATTTCATCTATACTTTTCTCTTATTTATCTATACTTCCTACCATTTTTTTCTTAATAAAAAAAAATCTAATTTTCATCTCCCTTTCTCCTCAAATCCATCATTCAATCCAAACAAAACATAAGAAAAAATTTAATCTACGTTGAATTACTCATTTTATTTTTATTGTAGATTTATATTTAAAAATGTTGTTTTAATATTTATAAATAAAAAGTTTTATTTTTATTTTTTTTTATTCTCTTTTAATTTATATGACGATAAGTAAAAGAAATAAAAAAATAATATTTGTGTAAGATCTAAAAAAAATGCTTATATTAAGTATAATATTAAAAAAGAAAAATATCGTAGCTAATTGGAATAAAAAGAGTAATTGATTTTTTTTTATAAATTTTTACGATAATAAATTATTTATTTGTTTATAACCATGTTTAATTGCTATTATTGTGACTCTAAGTAATTAATGGCATCCAATTTGAAAGTCTCTAAGTTTTATTTCACTTGTTGAAAATACAGCATATGTAAGGACAAAAGGGAAATTTTATTTTAAGTTCAGATGAAAAGAACTATAAGTTCATCTACAAAAGGCAAGACTAATAAGGTTTTTTAACCAATTAAAATAAATTTTATTTGCATTCAGATCATTTTACAAAATTACGTTGAATTGGTCCGTTATAAAATTCTGATTCGGTAAATAATTGACAATTTAATTTGCTTTATTTGGAGTTGTTGTTTTCAGACATGATTGTCTCTTAATTACCTTGCTTTCAAGGTTAGTCAACCTGTGTCTAAGGAAACACGTAAATATAAATATATATATATATATATATATATATATATATATATATATATATATATATACATATTTTAATAAAAAAAAATCATAAGATCGAAACAATACTTTACTTTTATAAAAAATTAAAAATTTCAGACATAATAAACTATAATATTTTTTTTATTATTATTTAGGAGAGCAGATTGAAAAAATTCACCCTAAATTCTGCATCTTAATATTACATTATGTAAAAGAAAAAGGTAAAATAATTGTTCATTATTTTTCCATCTCAAATAAGGTACCTAAAATGATTGAGTGACACCGACGTATGAGATTGCATTGTTATGATAAATGCATGGAAATATATAAAAGTTTCCTGCACTTCATTGATGGTGGATTGAGACGGAAGAGAAGGAAAGAAGAAGGGAAGAAAACGGGAGCAGAAGATGAAAATGAGATAAAAGCAGAAGAAGACTCAAACTGGACATACTTTCAGAAGATGGCAACTTGGTGCGTGCACTTCATTCTTAGTTTCGTAAGACAGAGGAAGTAACCACTACTGACATGTAACAAATAATACTCGTTTTGTGGAAAATTTTGTTTCATTCTATATTATTTTAAGTGAACTATATCATTTATATCAATTGATAATCTGACAAACAATTTATTATTTTTTATTTGTTTCTAATTTTTCAATAATCAATAAAAATTGTATAACTCTAGAAAAAATAAAATTTATCATGAAAAATATAATTAATCTAATTAAAAAATAGTTAAGTAAAATTACAGCATTTCTATATCAAATAATAAAAATCTATTTTTATATTGAAATGTTATAAATAGTTTTTTTTTTAACTTAAGATATATATATATATATATATATATATATATATAATATGAAAATATGAGTATACTACATCTTTTTGACGGAAAATAAAATATTTTTTTATAATTTTTTTAAATCAAAATATTGGGTAGAATAATTTTTAAAATAAAAAATTATAATCAAACTTATTTATGCTAAAATGAGAAATAAATACTTCATATTCTCATGTTTCTCAAGAGAAAAAAATTAATATTATAAATAATTTTAATTAAAAAAGAGAAAATGTAAAAAATATTACTGAAAACATATTATAACTTATAAAAATTAATACTTTTATTAATTTATAAAAATAAAAAACAACAAATATCTTATTTTATGTGGGTTAGATTAATTCAATTTTTAGAAATTTTTATTGGGTTGGGTGACACCAATCCACTTCATTTCAATATCTAACGTGTTGGATAATAATTTTGTATATTTAATCCGAAATTCAATCCAATACTAATAAAAATTATTGAATAATTTGTAATAATAATATTAATAATATATTTATTATTTAATTATTATATTAAATAAATATATTTTCTTAAAATATTATATTATTAAATTATTTAGATAATAAATAATTTAATATATTTTAAAAAATATATTAAAAGAAATACATTTTAAAATAAATAAAAAAATATTTTAAAAAAATTGTCCAATCTTTTCAATCCGATAAATAATAAGTTGGGTATTTGAATTGAATAAAAGAAAATATAAAAGCTAAACCCAAAATTTATTAATTGGATTGTGTGATAGAATGGATCACAAACCACTCAAACTAATTGATTTTGGTCAAACTCGTCGCTCAAACCAATAAATAAAATATTAAATTATTGAGTGGATTTTTTTATTCACTTCAATTCAATCCATGGTATTAGGGTGAGTTAATTGGATTACAATTTAAAATAAAATATTTTTTTATTGAATTTTTAATTTTAAAACATATTTGTTTAGATCTTTTTAAAAATAGATTAAATTATTTATTATTTGAATAATTTAATAATAGATAAAATATGTTTTTTATACGAGTACTATAAATTTGTGTATTTAGTACAATTAATTATTATTATTTTGTTCTCATACATGATGATTTACTCCGTTTTTTTTTCATCATCATTGTAAATTTTTTTTGTTAATTTAATGTTGTGTTCTACCATAAATAATGAGTTTATATTTTAACTATCACTCGTAAAATATAATAATTATTTTATTTTTAAGAGGCCACGTTTTAATTCCAGAACTCTAGGATTTGCATCATTGTGTTTCTAGAAAATATATTGTTCTATATTATTTTTCAATGATGCCTAAGGAGGGTTCTGAAGAAGGGTTAAAATCTTACCACTGGTGTTATTGGTTGAATCACCACTGTTACCCTTGTTGACGGTGTTAATCACCATTGTTACCCTTGTTGACGGTGTTGCTACTACTAATGGAGGGGAACAAGGTGGAAGAGTTTGAGCTTCTTCTAGATTCAAGAACTGAGGTGCTCGGTGTTGCCCACATAGCAATAATTATCTTTGTCAAGTGTCCACAAAATCAACCAACCTAAAAGACTTTTGTTTCTTCAAAAGCTAACATCTTTTGATCAAAATTGGTCTAAAAGTTGTGTTTTTTAATAAATGAAGTTGACTTACAGAACCAAAAACAAATAAAGCTTAGAAATTGAAGCAAACTTAAATGCTAAAGTTTAGAAAAACAAAATTTTGGACGGTAACAAGGTTAGAAATTTTGGTGGGATATTTAAAATTGTTGATGAACATTAACTCCCTTACAAGGCTCCAAAGATGAAAACTTGAGCACCCATAAACCTTTTATTTTTGTTTTTGGATTTGTAGCTTTTTATGCTTCAAACAATTGCAGTGAAAGAAGAAAGTCACAATTTTTATTATTCTTTGTTGTTTGTTTTAAAAAACAAGAAAAAACACCCACTTAAAGGAAAACCTCAAAGCTTCCTTTTCTTTTTGTGCCTTAGTAAGCTTCAGGCAGTTGTTGAAATAAAGGGAGGAATCTATGAATATGATTCTTATAGCTTATGTTTTTTGCTAGAAACATTCTTCAAAAGTTAAAAAAATATATTACAAACAATTCATTACATGTGTCTTTAGAAGTTTAAAAAAATTAAAAATATCATTATATCTTATGTGACACTTAAAAATATACAATTCATTATTTGTTATGCCATTAAACCAACAGTTATTTGGACAATGATAACTAAAAAGTTAATAGAATAAATCGTAAAACGAAGAACAAACAAAAAAAAATTAAATGTACTAAACACAAAATTTTCTAATATTCATTATATGAAAAACATATTTTACACTTTGATAATCTAATATTTCAAAAATACGTATTAATTTAATATAATAATTATAAATTAAATAATAAACATATTATTATTATTAAAAAATATTTGATAAATTTTATATAAGGATCAGATTAAGTTTCGAGTAATATACAAAATCATTTACTCAATCCGTACGAGATTGGATTTGACCTAATCACTTACAAAACTCAACCCGATGTAGTTGGATTGGATTGGGTTATCCAACCCAATAAATATATACACCTAAACAAATAAGTGAAATGATAAAGAAAATTAAAGATGCTGAAACATAAGTTGACAAGAAAGAGCATAAGAAGTGTTGGAATCGAACTAAACAGAATGGGAAAGGTAAACAGACAGACAACATGAAACATTGAAGATGAAAACTAAAACATTATGCATAAAAAAAATAGTAATTTTTTACAGACAGCTAGCTTCAAAACATGAAACCTTCGAATCGCACAAACTTCATATGTACAATGCGGCAACGCACATTCACTACTCTTTCTCCCCTCCCTAGCATATTAATTTAACTTTGTTCAAAATCGCTAAATGCAGTTTTGTGTACAATAACAACGCAAGAAACCACTCCTCTTGATGCAGGCCAACTCTGCTCCTATCCCTGCCTATGATGTATCGGTTTAGTTTTTGACTTATTAAATCAATTAAGCACTCAATTTATGACATTGTTAAACATAACTAACCTTCTGCTATGCAAGGTTAACTAGTAAAGCTTTATTCTGGTAGTGATTGTGCTTCGGCATATGGGGCAGAATTCGAGGCTTTCTCCACATTCACAACAAGTCTGCCCCATTGGTGGAAATAACAATAATAAAAGAAGAGTTAATATAATGTCCTATTCATAGTCTTACATTCAAGATGAATCGCTTAGCATATAATTCGACGTGTTACCTGATGCCCGCAACCAAATGCCATATCCTTCCCATTAGTAAGACAAATTGGACAAACCTGCAAAATTAACCGTGTATATGTAACCATTGTCAACTTGTTGTAAGTGACACAGAAACATCATGAAGAAAGCTAAACTATATTAGGATTGTATGAAAAGTACATCTTAATTTGAAAAGAATGGTATTAATACCTTATTATCATATAAGCCACCTGAAGATGATGCTGCGTTAACGTTATCGTAGCCTGAATATGTAGGTGTACTTTGCTGAAAACTATTTGAACGAAAAGATGTGCTGCTGCTAGAAGTCCTCTCATAATGAGGTGGAGGTAGAGCAACCCTATCTGGTGAATGTCCCCTCCGTGCACTACTTTCACAAATGAAAAAATGGTGCAAATTCAATTATTACCCCAATAAAAACTACTATAATAGACTAGAATTACCAGATTTTTTCCATATAACACTCATTAATTACCCCAATATGCCAAGATCTATAGTTGCCTTATATTGAGAAGGTATCTCCATCAAAGCTGATAGAGCAAAGTCTGTTTCTTTTCTGCTTGAATCTACACTCCTTGACATTATTTCGGTAAAATTCACAAACTACACGCAGCCAAAACTAAAATATTCACATTTCGGCAAAATAGGAGAATGTAAACATGACTAGGTGAATTACACCAAACCTGAAAATTGTCAAATGCTCGCGCTGGAATGTTATCATCAAATTCCCTCATCATGTCCCACGGTCCATCTCCAACCCCCACCAAAACTATTGAAAGTGGATACTCGCTGCAATTTTAATAGAGTATAAGCATGCAGGGTGGCCATTCCTAAGGATAGAAAACTACAAAATTTACCTGGCTTTTACAATTGCATCAATGGTCTTCTGTTCCTGGGGACTTAACTGGCCATGTTGCGTGTCAACACTTCTGGTCACCTGAGCCAAATTTTTAAGAATCATTTTTAAAATCTTACACACACAAAAAAAAAAAGGAATAACTACGGCAAAAGATTACTCAAAGATATATTGACAAAAATTAAGCGCATTTCATACTAACTGAACACGTTAGACATTTCATATATGAATCAAAAGATAGATATCTCATATATTACTATAGAGGACTACATCCTATTTACACCCATTGAGGATGCAAGGTAACTTCTTCTTTTTTTTCCTATTTGACCAAATTTGTTGACTAATGTAGTTTGATGAGAAGGGGGATAGCATAGGAGTCCTGCCCATGCTGGCAGAGTCTTTGACAATCCAAACTACAGTCCAAAAGAATGCTAGTGAAAGTTGTGACAAATGGAATTGCTTGCACCTCCAAACACCAATATTTTATTAAAGGTCCATCACATACCTAAAGAACATCATTTTTTAGAACTTGATTTTACACCTAACTCAATATTACAAAACTAGACATAAGGTGTACCACCCTGACCTTTGGTAGGATTGAGTTAAGCCTAAACTTACTTTCTACGATTCCATTTTTCTAATAACCTCCGGAGACAACTATTCGTTCAATGATGTGTATCTCTACTGCGCTCCCTTCTGAAGTTCAGCTCTCATTCAGATATATCCATCTAACAATTGATCATAGCAAAATATTGGAGGGAACAGATGCAATTCAAACCCATATTTTTCTAATCTAACAATTCAGTTTTCTTCTGCAGCATTTTCAGAAAAAAAAAAAAAAAAAATCTCTTCTGCAGCTGTCAATGGAAAGATGTTTATGTGCTAGGTAGATAAAATTGTTCAATTAAATTGCTAACCAAACAAAAAAAAACTGCAGTTTAACCTACTATAACATTTTAGTTGTTTTATCGGTGATACTTGAGAGTTATACTCACAAAGGCAACGTGGTAACATGAAGTATTTGATGACGGATGCATATGTAAACTAGATAAATGAGTGTAATTTTTTTTTTCAATGACATGAATATGTATGAAATATACCTGTCCATCAGCAATTATTAGCAAGACATGATATTGGCCGCCACTCTGCTCAACTATAGTCATAGCCATCTCAATAATAGGAGCAAATGAAGTGGGTCCTGTCACATAAATGCAATGAATTATGCTGAACCTGATTAAAAAATGCTACCCAAGATTAGTGATGAAGGCCACACCTGCTAGACGTAGGCGAGGAACAATATCTCTATATCTTGACAGAACTTCCTCAAATCCATTGCAGAACCTCTCATCTGAATGGAAATTAAAGACATCTTGATCATGCGTTGATGCTGACAGGAAAAAAGACATGAAAGAAACACTATCAAGTCTGCAATTTGGAAACCTAAGCAATTTGAAAAGCATGAAGATTTATATCAGGAACTACCGTCTCCAAAACCAAAACAAGGAATCAAGTTATCCTCATCAAAAGCACTTAAAGTTTTCCCAATAATCGAGATTGCTTGTTCATAAGGATTATGATCACTTCCTATATGATGTAAGCTCTTTCGGTTGAATGACCTCTTCCCTGATTTCATAGTGAATTGCAACTTCAGTACCACAACTCACAAGAAATTCAAGCATCGACATATGTATAAGAGATAAAAACCTGTCCACTCGTTGCTCTTTGTAAAATCAATGCCAACAATGAGGTTAGAAGATTCCAGTCCAGCGTGAGAAAGAGCAGTGGTAACCTGTGCAAAACTATTTCGTCATTTGACAGAATAAGGTGTTCTGTGACTTCTAACTGTATGCATGGCAATTTTTGGGAGTGAAACAACCAATAAGAATAGCAATATTGATTGATCTATAATTTGTCAAATGCTACCCGTTATATCTTGTTATGGATATTTAAATATGAGAAAAGAAAAAAGTAACTAAGGCAAGATACAGTAAGCTTCAACCAAATATTTCTCAAACCAACCTTCTTGCACTCTTCGACTAGTTTGTTCTGCGAAAATGTTGTGGCTACTGACAAAGTTTTCTCTTAACCATGAGTGGCCAAATTAGACATGATAACGTCTATAATGCTTTGAATATTATAAAATGAATTATGAGATTCTGCTGATTGGTGCAAACATTTTCTTGAAGAACAATAAAAACGAGAAACGATAGTCTCTTAAATAACACTTCATTAACACTTCATTTCAGCTTAACTTATTTAACTATATTCTCTGGCTTTAATTTAAAGATCATGCCAAGTTGCAAGATCAGCTGAAGTATAAAGGTCTTGTTAAAAAAAAGGGGTAGAAGTACATATGAAGGTATTACTCAGACTAAATAAATAAAAATGCAACAATTCTAAGCAAGGGTCTCGCCAGATTTTTTTCAAAATTCAGCATTTTATATACATTCTCTCTCTTAAACAAGGTCTCCGAACAAGATCCTTTTGGTCTTCCAGCTCTGACACTGATTCTAACACCCTTTGCTGCGGGGACAAAAATAACATATAACAAAAGAGTAACTTCACGTTTTTATTGTTACAAATAGTCCTTATTAAGACTTAAGAGCCTAAATATTTCGATTTTTAACGTGGAGCATCATACTAAATAATTTGAGGTCTGATCTCAGAAAGAAGAATCTGATTCCCTTCTTTTTTTTTCCTCCCTTATGTGTTGACTGCTGAGACTCAAAACTTTTTCATTAATGCCGTTCACATTATCTTCTGAAAACGGTAGGAAGACATGGACTAGTTCGAGTCAATGCATCGTGTCCCTAACCCCAAGGTCCCTATCCCCCTTTCTTAGCAAACACAAAAGTCAATGATGGATACAGACCAAACATGAAAAAGCGCTCATGTACTGACACACAAAACAATTATACCTAGGAAAATCACTACAGCACAACATAATCAGAAATCAAATTACCTCATCCAGTGAATTGTAATCATCAGCTATTCTGGAGTATCTCCTATCCAACCTCCTTTTTGGCTGTGAATAGTCATGAAATGGAGCCGAGGCACGGTTATGAAGAGGCGTATGATATGTATTTTGTTCTGGGTATGCATTTGGTGTCTGAGGGTATCCATAGTTATCCCATGAAGCTGAAGAACCAGCAGATCCATACGATGAAACACGCCTTCTTTCAGACACTTTCGAACTATTACCTCCCATGATCGACTCCTTTAGAATCAACACAAGCAAAAACAAAACAACCAAAGCAGTCCAAGTCTCCAACTACAATTGCAAACAACATGTCAATCGTCAAATTATAAACGCAACACTCCTAATATATATGTTCACTGAATAAGAAATCAAAACCTTACAACTACGACCAGCAATAAAATTATGCAAACTACAAATTCTGGGAAAGTAAAACTGAATGGTGCATCATAAAATTGGTTCACGCAATTTGGATGTGGAAAGAAAAACAAATATTAAAGAGTAGACCAAGAAAATAACTCAGGCGCTGAATTAAGGAACAATGATGACTGAATCAAATGAAACAGACCATGTATCAATCTTTTCAACAAATTCTGTAATGAAACATAAACTCTTTGACAGTTTTTTCATACCTCTAGAAGCATGGTTTCCACGCAAGAATTGCAAATGAATTGTGATAGAATTAACAACACGCTGGATATGTTAATGTCTCACGCTAATCACGTAACCTAGAATAGCTTCTCGTTGTTGAACTAAATAGGAGGAAGAGGACAATGAATTAAGAAAACTCCTCTTAGAAGGAAACTAAACTAGCAAGGTCAAGTCAACAACACCTCTTCAAGCTTTTCCTCCAATTCAACCATAATCTATATTAAATTATGTGAAACCCTTAATTAAAATCATATTCCAGGATAAATTAATCTACTGTTTAATGGTGTAACCTTGTTTAAATCGGCATTGAACAAGTAAATGAATATTGTGCTCACAAGCAAGTGATTATGTTTGTCAATTCCTAGTGATATTATTAGCAAATTTAGACAAAAAAATTGTCTTTCAATTTATTTATTCGTTCTTTCAACGCGAAGGGGAAGTTACGTTGTGTTTTTCCCCTACCCATCTCGGAAACGTAGGCGTTGTCACGTAATGTTCACGCGCTGATGACGGGTCCCACTTTTCAAAAGGACCGAAACTTCCAAGAAATGCATAGTGTAGGGGCAGTTTATATAATTTTTGAAGATTTTTTTTTTAATCAAAACTGTTTTCATAGAAGTATTTTTGGGTTGGAGAATTCAAGGGGAGAGGAATGTAACAAATATGTAATAAAAAACACTAGCTTCTATTATATTTAAAGAATGAAATGAATGTGTACGTCTTCTAAAAATTTTACTAAAAGAATATTTAAACATATTTTTAAACTAAAAGATATAATGATGTAGGTTTGCAAATTGCACGACATTCCTCCTTGAATTGGAAATAATTTTTCTAAAATCATACATTTTTAATTGTTTTAGCATGAATTTTGTTTGTTTGAAACCTTGTATTGCTTTGTGTCATTTGGGTGAATGGTATATTTTGTTAGTATTTTTTATAACAATTCATTATTGTTATTATAATTAAAATTAGATAATCATTTAACATGTACATAGATAAATATTTATTATCTATTCAATAAATCTTTAACTTTTATTTTTAAAATTAATGAATTATTTCATTCGAACTAAACCGAACCTAAGATCAGTTTGGTTTGAATCCAACCCGGAGTATGCTTGCTAGATATATTTATTGTATTTTTATTTATCAAAATTTGTAAAAATAAAACTGAAAAATTAAAAAATAAATAATAAAATAATTAAAAAAATGATCCGATTTTATTTTTTTATAACGTATCAAAACAGTTTTGAAAAATTATTTAAGGAGATTTAGATTGCTAACGGCACCCTTGCTTTTTAAACTCACCCTTCTTCTCGTTTGTTCTATTTCCTTTTCAGCCCATCAACTAAGATTCCAACTGGTTTTACTTTTAACACCACTAATCAAATTTTAACTCCTTAACTTAAATACAACTGTCGTCTTCTAATGTATTAAAAAAATATTATACACATCTCATGCATATCTTACATATATAATTAAATTAATTAAAATTTAATCAAACTTTAACTTTAATTTTACTTTTCAAATTTACCTTGAAACACAAAAACATGCAGTGTAAGCTATATCTATGTACTTTTTTACACACATACATACATTTATATAATTTTAATACTGATATGAATTAAAATAAATAATTAGTTTTTAATAGTTGACTTTATAATTAAAACTATAGTATTCTTGTATGTTAATAATAATAATAACACAATTAGTTAAACAAAATAATATAATTTATCAATTAAATTTGTAGTTGTTTGTCTAAAATTAAAATAATAATAATGAAGAGGTAAAGTCTTTTCCTCTCATTCTTGATTTACTTCTGTCACTAATATTCTCCCGTATTCTTTGTAGGGTTTCTATGTTTTTTATGTCCATTCTCTTGACTCATATTACCTTTAGAAAACAAATTTGCTTTTTTCATTTAAATAAAATATTATTTACATTTATATTATTTATTTATTATGGATAAAGAGTTCTTAACATAGTTTTTTATGATGTTAATTTATTAAATTATTTCACTGTTAGTTATTTATAAGTGTTTATCCTATAAAATAAATCGATAAGAACTATTTAGTTATTTTTATTTAGATTAATAAATAATATGTTTTTAATTTTGATAATATTTTAATTAGATTTATAAATATAATAGTATTAATTGATGTTTTATTCAACCATGAATATGAAATATTCCTCCTAATAGATATTTATAAAATTATATTTGATTTTGAATTTGGACATTTGAACATTATTGGAGTAATGGATGAAATTTTATTACCATATTCAAATACGATCTCTGAGAATAAAGAACTACATTTAGAGGAAGCAATTATAAAATATAGAAATGTAAATTATTGAAAAAAATTACTAAAAATGTAAATTATTATAAATTAAGAATTACTAAAGATAAAACAAGTATAGAAATAAAAATTCAAATGAAACGAACTTCGTTAAAAAGTTTTATACCACAATTTTCAAAATACAAATATCTTAATACACTAGGTTTAATCTTTTATATTTATTTGATTTTATTCATACTTAATTTCTTTTACAATGGCTAAAAATAAATAACTATAAAAAAATTATTTTTCTATTAACTATTTTTACTTCGTTCACGAGGTTTTAATGATACATATAAGGTTTATAATCGTTTTTATCAATTCATAAGTTATAATCATTTCGTCTTTATCAACTTCATAATTCTTTATATTTTTTTTATCTTCCTTAATTGTTTACTTAACCTTAATATTTTATTTTTCAAAATTTTCCTTTACTCTATTATCGAATATCCTTCTCTATTATTTGATATATTTTTTTTCTATTACCTTTAATATTTCAAATTTTTTTTATCCTCTTTTATCTTTAACGTTTCCATATTTAATTCTTATTTTCAATTTCGATAATTTCTTAACTCATTTTTTTATTTGTAAGTTTGTATATAAAAATAAGATACTAAAAACAAAGAAAAAGATAAAAATAAATAACAGAGTAAGAAGATAATGAATCCCATATATAATATATTTGAAAAAAAAAACAATTACCTAAATAAATTTTCTCTAAATTAATTTACCCAACTAAATCTGTAATTATTAATGCACAAAATTCAATAATGTAAAAAAAAATCATTTAATGTGATATAGACAATTTTTTTTTCATAATTTATTTACTTATGTTTTTTTTTCATTAACTTCTTGTTATTCTTTTTTTTTTCCTTTTTTTATTCTTCTCTCACTCCATCCTATTCTCCAATTTAAAATAATAGTTGATAAAATGAATCTTTTATTATGTTTTTAAAATAAAAATATTTAAATGATTAAAAATATTATAATTTAATATATTATATTTGAAAAAATATTATGATATATTTGAGATATTACAAAAATATTATTGTTATGTTATAATTATTAGAAAAAAATTAAAGATTTTTAAAGTAATTTTTTAATAAATATTTGTTTAAAATTAATCATAACTCAATTTAATTATAATTAAATTAAATTATTAAGTAAAAAATATATTTAACTCATAAATATTAAATATTTTTTTAATTAGATGACTAAATTATTTATTATGATAAAATATTTTAAAAATAATTATTAATATTATCATTGTTTTAAACAATTAGTTGATATTTATTTAGTTTTATTCTTAATTTTAAAATAATTATTTTAATAATTTTAGTAAATTTTTAATATAATAATTTAATTAGAAAATAAGTGGAAAAGCTGATAGAAAACCAAGAGATAAAAGGAAAAAAAGTTAAAGAAAACTAGGAGCCAAATGAAGAAAAATAACAAATAAAACAAATTATAAAAAGGAGAAAAAAATTCATATTTATTTTAAAATATTAATATAATAATAATAATACTATTATTATTATTATTATTATTATTATTAAAAAGATTTAGGTGTTTTCTATATCTAATTTTATGTATAATTAATTTGTTAACTATTTTATTTTATTTCTACTTTATTTTTTGTTTATTAAATATATATTATATTTTTTCTCATGTTTTATTATTTTTTAAATATAAACAAGAAAAATAAATCCTAATTATATATAACTAGTAAAAACATAGGTCCACATTTTCTATAATTAATTTTTTTAAATATTATTTGATTTTATTCTTATTATTTAAAAATATATTTTATTTCCACTTTTTTCCGTTTCTCATGTTTTTATATTTTTTAAATATTTAAATTATAATAACTATTTTTTAATATTTAAATATATCCATTTTTAACTCCACTTTTATCTTATTCTCATATTTTTATTATTTTTAAAATATATAAATTATAATTATACTTTTTTTAATATTTAAATATATCCATTTTTATCTTGAATTTTTTTTTCTGTTTCACATATTTTTATTATTTTTAAAAATATATAAATTATATAATTATTTGTTATATATAATACTTTTATTTTACTCGGATGACACAAAAAGACGATTATAAAAGATATTTTTTTTTATATAGTTACAGAGTTAGTGGTTGTGTATCATAATTTTGTGTATAATTAATTTTTAAAATATTATTTTAAATTTTATTTTATTTATCATTCCACTTTTTAAATATATTAATTTTTAAAATATATAAATCATAATAATTTATTTTATTCTTAAATTATAACATTTTTATTTTTTTATCTCTTTCATAAAAAAACTGATTAAAAAAATATCATTTATACTTATAATAATAATAATAATTATTATTATTATTATATTATTATTATTATTATAAAACAATTCAAATTTCGTATAATTATAAATGTATTGATTATGAAATAAAGTTTTATAATTTGGTGCATTTTGTTTACGTATAATTATGATTTATTTATCTATATCGTAACATAATTTTTAATTATTAGTATTATTATTTATAAAACAATATTATTTTTCATCAAATAACATATAACTATCTTTTATTATATTATTGATAAATAAGGGAGAGATAAATTTTAAAAAATCATTATAATATTATATATTTTAAAATAATTATGATACATATAAAGAAGAAAGAAATAACATATAAATAGTATATATATATATATATATATATATATATATATATATATATATAATATCAAAGTAAACATTAAAATCTAAGAAAGAGAATTGAAGTAATTGATTTTAATTTTTTATTATTATCTGTATCGTTTAGTTAATTAAAATTATTAAACAATTTATCATTTCTAATATGTTAATTTTTATTTATTTCAATAAACAGTTGAATTTGATGTTTTGACTTGATGATTAAAATATAAATTGATTTTAATCAAAATATTATTTTTATCATTAATAAAAATACATGAAAAAAAGTATTAGAGATACTTATAGAAAGAAGAAAAAGAAAATATAAAACTAACCTTGTTTTATTAGTAGTATAATAATTTTCCTATATTTTTTTTATGATTTGTTTTTAAAAACCTTATTTTACGACTAATAAAAAATATATTATGATGTAAAATGTAAAATTTTAAATATTAAAAATTAAAATATATTCAAAAGAGAATCAACAAGTTAAAAGATATCGTTAACAAAAAAATAAAAAATAATAAAAAAAATAAAGATTTGGAGTTTATTGTATGAAAGGAAATTGGTCCGATATATTTTTAATAAATAAAAAATATAAGTCAATGTACTCTTAAATTAGTATTTTTAAAAATTTCATAAAAAAATCAACAGAAGCAAATTAACCTTTCTCACTAGAAAAAGAAAAGTTAGAAATACATTTTTTTTATGTCTAATAAAATTATAAAAATACGGAAATGTGTAAAATAATTAAAATCAAAATTACAGAAAATTAAGGAGTTAAATTAAAAAACTATGAATAAATATTAGGATTAAACCCAAATATATATTGAAGGATGATTAATTGATTCCTAAATATTTAATACATAACCAAATAAATTAATATAATAACATTATTAATATAATTAGTTGTAGAGTAATTGTTTAGGTTGTAAACAGAAAATTCAGAATGAATGAGTACATTCTCTCGCCCCAAAAGCACGTTTCCGCCTCAATTCGTCTCTTTCCACGTCGCCAAACGAAGTTTCCTTTCGATCATTCCACCTATCGTCTGGGTTGGCGCCCACCATAATCATCCTCACTAAATCAGGCCCGTCCAATCCCATCGCCGTGAAAAACACTTCCCATCCTTATTCCTTTCTTTTCTTTTCCATTTTACATATATTTATTTACATATATTCATCAATAGAAAACAAAACAATCAATCATCCAATCAGATTTTTTTTTTTATTTTAACACCCTTATTTTTTTAATTGAAATTCCAAAAAATAGACAAATTCTCAATTCTCAATCTGAAGTTCCTAAATTCTTCAGAGGCTGACTGGTAGGTACGTTGTGGCGGTGTTTCTTCATCAGGAACAATAAACCATAACCGAAGACAATTTCGCATTAGATTAGATTTTTTTACTTGCTGCTCCTCCAATATTGGTTCGCTTCAATTTCTAGGGTTTATCGCGTATATAATTGTGCCATATATATGTTATTAAATTACATGGCCGGCGCCGGCGACGTAGATACCGATGCAGTGCTCAGCGACGTCGAGGACGACGGCGGTGATCCGGCTCCTATTGCGGGGAAGGCTCCCTCCTCTGAGGATGTCTCTGTCGAGAAACTCCTGGAGGTTCTGGCAGAACTCGATCGGGAGCGGCAAGCGCGCGTTGCCGCTGAAAATACGAAGTCGGAATTGCAGGTTTCATTCAACCGGTTGAAGGCGCTGGCTCACGAGGCCATAAAAAAGCGCGACGAGTTTGGTCGCCAGCGCGACGACGCCTTCCGGGAGAAGGAAGAGACGGGGAAGCAATTAGAAGAAAAAGCGAAACAAGTAGAAGAAAAAGCGAAACAACTAGAAGAAACGGCGAAGGAACGCGATGCGCTGCGATCGGAGATTGGGAATTCGAGCCACATGCTCGTCACCGGTATGGAGAAGATCTCGGCAAAGGTGAGCAGCTTTGCCGGCAACGCGCTGCCGCTTCCGCGATCGCAGAAATATACCGGCATGGCAGCGGTGGCGTACGGCGTCATCAAGCGCGCGAACGAGATTGTGGAGGAGCTTTTGAAGCAGAACGAAGCTACTGTGAAGGCTAGGAACGAGGCCAGGGAGCAGATGGAGCAGCGGAATTACGAGATTGCCATCGAGCTTTCTCAGCTTGAGGCTACGATCAATGGGTTGAAGGATGAGGTTTCGAAGAAGGTTTCAATTGTCGAGGATTTGGAGAGGGATTTGGCTGTTAGGGACCAGAGGCTGAAAGAGGTTGCGGAGAATTTGAATAAGGAGCAAAGTGAGGCTTTGCAGTTGAAGGAGTTTGTTGGTGAGTATGAGGACAAGTTGAGTAGTTTGGAGTCTCGGATGGAATCGCAGAGGCCTTTGTTGATTGACCAGTTGAGTCTTGTTTCCAAAATTCATAACCAGATTTGCAATGTTGTTAAGATAATTGATGATGGCACTGAGGAGCTATCTGAATCGTTGTTTGTTCCGCAAGAAACAGACGTTGAAGAGAATATGCGTGCCTCTTTGGCTGGGATGGAATCCATATATGAGTTGACTAAAATTGTTGTTCAGAAAGCAAAGGATGTGGTTGAAGAGAAGAATAGTGAGATCAAGAGTTTAGATGAGACGGTGGCTCGGTTGGTTGCGGAGAAGGATCAAATTGGTTCTTTGCTTAGGAGTGCTTTGTCTAAGAGGATGACAATCAATCCATCTTCTAGAAAGAGTGAGCTGTTTCAAGCTGCAGAGAATGGGTTGAGGGAGGCTGGGATAGATTTCAAATTTAGTAAGCTTCTTGGGGATGGTAAGGTTGCAGTTTCAAATGAGAAGTTGGATAGAACGGAAAAGGAAGAGGACGATGAAATATACTCTTTGGTTAAGCACCCATTACTCTCTAGTTTTTAATGAAACTTGCATTTCTCATTGTTGTTTGAATTTTGAAGACTCTTTGATGAATTCTTTATGCACGCAATGTGTGCAGGCTGGTGCTCTGGAGGATGTTGTTAAGGCATCTCAACTTGAGATCAGTGAGCTGAAATATACCGTGGGTGAATTAAGGTACATGACAAACAATAGAATTAAATTCCAGTTGTTTGCTATTTGTCGAGTTTAAAGGTTGATAAATGGAAATCATACCCGGCGATACTGCTGACAGTTTCCTGAAGAACTTGCATGTTTTTAATTTCCAGTTGTGTTGACATCATAACTTTTTTTCTTTGCATATTGCTTGACTGCATTAAGGGCAGAGGTGAGCTTACTTAAGCAGCATATAGACGCTCAGGGTAAGGAGCTTGACCATAGAATGCATCGGATAGAGGAACTTGAAGAAAAGGAGAGAGTGGCAAATGAAAATGTAAGCTTAATTGTGTTTTTTATAAGTTTAACCTGATCTAGTTCCTTAATCATGGACAGTTTTATCTTTATATCTCTATTTTGTAGAATGTAGAATTTGTTAGGGACATTTGATTATTTATATTTCTGTCACGAAGTAACAACTTAGCCTATTTGCAATATAGATTGAGGGGCTAATGACGGACATTGCTGCTGCTGAGGAGGAAATTAACAGATGGAAAGTTGCAGCAGAGCAAGAAGCTGATGCAGGCAGAGGTGTTGAACAAGAATTTGTGTCACAGGTATGCTATCTGTTTGACAAATATTCATACCTTGCTTGCCATATTTGGAGGACGTGACCAAAATTTTTTTTTCTGCTTTGCCCTATATTCTTAGAGTTTAATGAATTTAATTTACAATATTATTGGTGCTAAGTCAAACTTTGATTATGCAATGGTGAGTTGCGTACTGTTAATTATGCCATGTTCTTTTTCGTTGTTGAAAAATCAGTCTTGGCAATTACCAATGGAAAACACATGTTCTGATGTAATTATAAGACTGGGAATAATTTCAACAGACATCCTAATTACATTCAACAAAATCAATTCTACCCAAGTTTAGATCATGTTTGGTATAATGTCAAATTTTACGTTGGTTGATGAGGGCCTAGCACAACCCTCCTTAACCATGAAGTGAGACCAGCTATGGAGAACATAGGTGGAGTTACCCAACTTCCAACTATATGGACCTTAAATATAATAGCTAGTTGCTTGTAGTCATGAACCATCTCAAAAGCTTAATGATTACTTAACATGTTCCCTCATATTGTGCTGGATGGATGGATATTGTGCTGCCTCTTAGATAGGATTCCCAAGGAGAATAACTTAACTAATAGAGTGAACAGCAGTATTTGCTAGTTTGTTGTGACTGAGTCCTGTGAGACATTTGGATTGTTAGAATGGTTGCAAATGTTATCGGCTGAGTTTTTAGAGTTATTAATGCATGATTATATATAACCATAGACAAGCTAATTCATGCATGCTTTTCATAACCACTAAGAACTGTTCACAAGGCTGTGGCTCGAGTGCAAGTTGTTTAGATTCTCCCATTTCTCCATTTTTTGTCTCTTTTTTGGACTTATTGTCTCTATTACCTAAGAGCTATCACATTTCCTCTCTTGTGCTGAAATTTAAATTTTAACTTCTAAGTTTAATTACCTGGAATACCTAAAACTTTAGGTTTTTAACCAATCCAAAAGGTGTCGTGTGATCCATGAAGCTGATATCATCTAGTGGGTTAAACCCACGTTGTTGTTATTGTTTAATAATACAAAATGATGTAGAAATAATCGAGGATGTTATTTGTGATTGTAAAATACCTATCAAACTTAAAGCAAAATTTTATTGTACTACTATATGTCCAACTATACTATATGAGAGAAAGGTGTGTTAAAATATCAGAATTTTAAAATGGATGTATAGCTATACAAGAAATGATAAATATGGAATCATTATATATAAAAAATATTGGTGTAGCACCAGTTGAGAAAAAATGACAAAACCAGCTAAAGTTGTTTGAACACAAAGAATTGCCACAAGTGGCATCAGTCATAACAGTAAATTGCATGTTTTATTGTCCTATGAAAAGGAGGGGAGACAAATAAAGGGCGTTGGAGGAAGTCGTTACCGAGATCTCATGCTAAATAATATATTTGAAGTCTTGAGTTTTAACCGTGCTGAATTATGTTGTGTTATCCATTGGTCAACCTCTCTTAAGCGGTATAAGGCGTTGTATTTAGAAGAATAAGGACAGAAAATATAAATATCTAAACCCTGTAAATGCTTTATTAACATGTCTTTAATTAATTGCCCCAAGAACTTGAAAAGGCCGTTTGATTTAATTAATAATATACTTTCTGATTTATTTTCAATTGTATTATAGAATGTTACATCATTTACTTTTTTTTTCCTGATTTCTCAAACTGAAGCATTTTCTCAAACCAAGCAAGTCTGTTATCTTGTTTTCATGAAATCCTGTACTGGGATAATTTTCTGTGCATTCGTTGTTTTTACTCTCTAGCATTATGGTCTTGCTGAAAAGTTCATTTCTGTAACTGCATCATATTGATATTTTAAGTTGAGATCATACAATGCCACCTGTTCGTGGGCTTTGTTTCACTTCTTCTGTTGTATGTTTTCATTGAATATTCTTAGTCGTATGGATGTCTGCAAATCTGCAGTTGGCAGAACTTAAGCAGGAGCTTGAAGAAGCAAAGCAATCCATGTTAGAATCACAGAAGAAACTAAAATTCAAAGAAGAGACAGCTGCTGCTGCGATGGCAGCCAGAGATGCAGCAGAAAAGTCTCTTAAGTTAGCTGACTTAAGGTCATCTAGACTAAGAGATAGAGTTGAGGAGCTTACTCATCAGCTCGAAGAGTTTGAAAACAGGGAAGATTCAAGGAGCCAAAATCGGCCTAGATATGTGTGTTGGCCATGGCAGTGGCTTGGCATGGACTTTGTTGGATTTCAGCAGCGACCTGCTCCGCAACAGGAGGCTTCTAATGAAATGGAACTTTCTGAACCTTTCTTATAATTGGGCCTTTTCTTGTTTTTTTTTTGTTCCCCTTCTTTTTATCTTTTGTGTATTTATGTTGATTTCTTCAAATTCATGTTAGAAAGTTGTAGTTACACCTTCAACGTACCATCTCTTAAATGCAGCTGTGGTAGTCATTTAGCATTAGGCTCGTGTAAAGTGAGAAAGTCTCTGAAGTATACAAGTGAGGGTGTGTTCATTCTTGAGTTGAAGTAGGATAACTTGCCAAAACAGGTTAACTTTAAATAACATAAAGGGTGATAATTATTTGAGAATCCAAATAATTAATGGACAACCCAAAATAACACTACATAATATTGCATAGTGTTATTTTGGTTGAGTTGTCTAAGTTGTCAAAGAATATTTTGTAGCATAAAATACACATCTTAACTTATTCGCTTTAGAGGTTTTCTCACTTCAGACGAGCTATTTTCTCTGCACTATCATGTTGCTATTGCTTCTGGTTGAGTTTTGGTTGTTTCCTATGACCATTTAATGAAAGCAATTAACAAATACAAAGACATTGCATTACACTCATGTAGATGTGTGTCAATGGAATACTTTATACATGCGCGTAACCGTAGTTTTTTTATCTACTTAATGTATTTATTACGTTTTTTTTTCTTCGATGCCTAAGTTCTAATTGTGGATTGAGTTACACCCTTGTCATCATCTGTATGTCCAATTCTTCCATTGAGTAAATCATGCTTTCGAGGGATTTATGGTTCGTTAATCTCGCCATACTAGGAAATCGATATCTATTGGAATAGATGGATCGGTCAACCACTCAACCTGTCAAAGCTTAAAGAACTAATGCAGTTTCAGTGTCGTTTGGATGATGTTCAATTGTCAATCTTAATTTTCTTTATTATTATAGTAGATTCAATACCATTTTACTAATTAAATTATGATTTTGTTACCTTTATTTTACTTTCGTACCAAATAAATCCAAACATTTTTATTTTATAGATGAAGGTATTTAACAGTTGTTCTAAACATGGAGACTACAACAAAAGTGTTCCTTTGGCTTAATGACTTCACCCAACCTTAAACTTTAATGACTTAGAATTGAAGAAACCCTTTAGATTAATTAATCTTATGGTTAACACATTGGTTGAAAAAGAGAAACTTGCGTTGGAGAGGATCTTGATTCAATTATATCCATTTAATCATTGGACCTATGTTAAAGCAGGACAACACTAAATTTTGGGGACAATTAAACAAAGCCATGAATGATTTGAGAAAGAAAAGTTCAATTAACATTTTAATCCCCAAGTATATGAAGCTCAAGTTGGTAACTCATTTTTGCTTGAAGGATACAATCAAACTTGAAAAAGGATTTGCGATTAGATTAATTAATATTTTCTAAAAACTTAATGGATGATTCTCGTTACTAATGTAGTTATGAACAACTTAACAATTCATTGTTAAGTTACAGAAAAATACTAAACTATCAAAATTATTGTCAATTTTTTTAAATAATTATTAATGACCAAAAATGTTCGTCAATTAATTGTTGAAATTTTTTTATTAACTACAAGATTGTTAATTATTAAATTGTTGAAAAATAATCATTGAAATATTTGTTGTTAAGTTGTTGAAAAATAATAATTAGCGACCAAAACTTATTCTTCCCTAAGTTGTTGAAAAATACTTATTTTCAACCAAAATTATTCGTGGTTAAATTGTTGAAAAATATTAACAATATAAATCATTGTCGAATTGTTAAAAAATATTAATTAACAATAAAAATAACATTTTTTAACAATTTAGCGACCAACAATTTTTGTCATTAATTGATATTTTTTGTATTAACTTCGTTACCAATAATTTCAACCACTAACTAATATTTTTCAGGATGAACAATTTCTTTAGTTAATTAGTATTATTTAACAATTTAGCGATGACTTATTTTTGCTGTTAACAATTTAGTCGCTAATTAATATTTTTTAAAATGAACAATTCTTATTATTGATTTATATTTTTTATTATTTTAGCAACGAATAATTTCCATCACTAAGTAGTATTATATAATCAACTTAGCAACAACTAATTTTATCCTTCATTATTATTGTTCATCAACTTATCAACGAAATTTTCATCAACTTAGCAACATATAACTTTTGTTGTTAATTCGTATTTTTCGTCATTTTAGTGACGCATAGTTCCATCACTAATTAGTATTTTATCACCTTAATAACTAACATTTTGTTTTTAATCAATATTATTCTTCAATTTATCGACAATATTTTTCAATTGCTAATTAATATTTTTTTTATCGACTTAGCGACATATAATTTTCATTGTTAATTTGTTTTTTTCACCACTTTACCTATTGCTATTTATTATTTGTATTAACTCAGCAACAAATACTTGTCGATATTAATTAATATTGTTTATCATTTTAGCAACAAACAGTTTCAGTGGCTAATTAATATTTTTTATCAACTTAGAAATGAACAAATTTTATTCTTATTTAGTATTATGAATAATTTATTTAGTATTATGAATAATTTTTTTCGCTAAATAAAATTTTTCAATAATTTAACAACAAATATTTTCAATCATTAATTATTATTGTTTGTCAATTTAACAACAAATAAAACCCTATTTTTAATTACTTAGTTGTAAATATTAGTTAATTAATATTTTTTATCAACTTAGCAATAAATAATTTCTATCATTAATTAGTATTTTTTTTAATAACTTAATGATGAATAGTTTTTGTCTTTATTTTTCATCAACTTAGTTATGATCAATTTTCATCCTTAATTAGTATTTTTCAACAGCTTAATTATAAATAATTATTGTTAGTAATTTGTATTTGTCGTCAATTTAGCAATGAATAGGTTTTCTTGCTAATTAGTATTTTTATACAAACAATTTTCATATTTAATGAACATTTAAAGGCTTTGAAATCTGAGGAGTTACAATAATTTAAATTCCCCCTACATACTGATTTGAAATTAATTGGTCAATAAATACATAAATGATAATACCTTGAGTGAAAACTAAAAAAAAAAAAACACGCATCTGGAGCACCTATCACTATCTCATTTTATGATAAGGATGTTATTAGTTTTTAATAATCTATAATAACTTTTTAGAAGAAAAAAATAAGATAGTGTCGTTTAACAAAATTACATGTAGCAGGAAGTGGGAAAAAACTAACCTTTAAACATGTTATTTGGAGGGGGAATAGGCAAATTAAGAAGACCAAAATCCCCCAATATTGAAGGTCTAAAAGAAGAGCATTGACGTATAATATCATCTGTGGTGCTAAATTATTGCTTCAGCGCTTTGTTCTGCATTTCTTTTTGAGCAAAATGCCATCAGGAGGACGTGTTAGCATAACTTTGCAACGACCGTAAAGATTATATGAATACCTTAAAATGCTTCCCAATTTGGATCTTGCACGAAATACTCCCTTAACTTCAAGAATTACCCCATTACCTTCCATTTGTTTCACAAGACGCTGGCTTTCTCTTAATGGCAGTTGAACTTGACTAGAGACCATATGGATAGTTGCAAACCTTGATTGAAGCCTTGCAGCTGAGAAAGGCTCAACATATTGAGTGGCAATGAGGGTACTTCCGTAGTAGAGATAAATGATCACGGAGCTGAAATCCACATGTACCTTCTTGTTTGGATTTGTAAAGTTAGCCAACATGGTTAGATCAGCGTTGAGCAGATATCCAAGATCAAGGTATGCAGCGTTTAAGGTCACACTAGACACATCAAAATGAGGACTTTGAGGGCGAAAAACAAAGTACACTATAAGGACTATTAACCCTCCTATAATTATGATAAGCCAAAATATTACACACAAGCAAGCACCTAACCATGTCAAGGGTTGGGACTTTTGCTCCTTAGGCAACTTTATACCACTGTGGCGGGGATCATGGAGGGGCTCACGGCGTGGCTGCTGCCGACGCTCGGCAGGATGGTCGGGTGGCGGCAGTGTTGGGGGGACAGTAGCAGAGGGAGGTGGCTCTTGAAAATTTACTTTTGATGGCTTAACTGGTCGCAAACCTTGAATTGTTGGCTGCTTACTAGGACTTCTTTTTGATTTGCCATGGCGTGGCTCTTGCAAAATAGGTGGTTGTGGATGATCTTCTAATGGAAAGTCTTCATGCTGAGGTCGTGTTCGTAATGGAACACGATCTTCATTCTCAAATCGCGATACATCTGGTATAGGTGTAGCTGCTTGTGTGGATGGTTGGCCACGACGTTTTTGGCGTGGCCCAAATGGCATATGTGGTTGCTCATTATCATCTGCTACGTACTCAGGTCGTGATCTAGAAAAATGAGGGTTGGTTTCTATACGAGACATGGCGATTGTGAAAAATGTGTGAGGAAAATGAGGAGAAACAAAATGAAAATCCAAGAGAATGCTATTAATCTAATGGAAACAAGGATCAATCAAGCCTAAATAAAAAATTAAAGTATATAAAGGGAATGGGAATGACTTCAAGTTAACTTCAAGGATGATTCATATAAAGGCAAAGAATCAACATAAGCCACTTATGTGGGGCAAAATGTTTCACTCTTCCTTAAAATATCAACACAGACTCGAGTTTTTCATACAGAAAGTGACATGCCTCGCTTATGGATGCCATGTTTAGCTTAACTCTTGAGAGGATGGGTGAAATCAAGACCTTGTGTGAATTTACAGGGTGGCGTGGCCTACAAATTGTAAAGATCATTGAAAAATTCTGACCATAACACACATTCCAACTCAAGCATTTTCAGTTTCTTCTACCTCAATTTACATGCACACACACACAGACAGGGACTGCGGAAGATACCTTTCCCCAACTTTGGTCCAAAATACGTGGACCCCAAAAGCACACTTTAAAAAGTGAAGAACAGCTTATTGAAGATAGGAACTCGTTATGAGTCAACATTCTATCAATTTAAAAGAAACAAGTTTTCTCAGAAATGAACAAATAAAACAAATATGTTACAAATATAAGAACAGCCTTGACATGCCTCATAAAAGAGAGTTAAGTATATGAGAAACAATTTCATATTTCTAAAAAATTAAAAGTTATATGCCCAGAATCAGTGGCACTTTTTTAACGGAAGTAGGCTATAATTTCAACATATCTGCCAAACAGCTCCCCCACCGCACCCTCAATAGAAAGAACCAAGTTTCAAAATGCATGTCTCATTAACTTCAAATTATACCGAGAAACTAAAGCCAGGGTTTCTTCAATTTTCAATAATTTCGAAAATCTGGACAGATGAATTGTTAACAGTTCCCAGATGCAGACATCCAACGTTCAGCAAGAGCTTTTCTCCATTTTGTTTCTTTTCAACACTTTTTTCCATTTACTCCACACTAACCCAAAACAAATGTAAGCAATGTGATATGCCAAACCCATAAACTGCTAAGACCAATACGGTAAGATTTCATGATCAAATATCAATAGTCAGCATTCTAACTATTCGTACATCTGTGATCGGATAAATCATATAAAAGACATTTCGCCTGATAAACTACATCTCATTAAGATAAATAGGTTTGATTGAGTTGATACTTAAATAAAAACGGGAAAATTGAGAGGGAAAAGTTATTTTAATAGAAAAAATTGTCAATATTTTTTGTAAAAAAACTATCTGATTTATGAACCTATCCACATCCCAAGTCACACCAAATCAAATTAGAGTCATATCCACGCTGCCTGTCTATTTCTTCAAAGAAAAACTAATGAGTGCTCAACCGTAACGTGCGCCTATACTCAGTATGATACAACTTAAAGCATAAAGTACACAGAAGAAATTACAAAAGAATCCAACTTACATGAATATCAATTGAAGGGTGATTTAGGATTTTTAGGATTACAACATTGTAGGAAATTTATGAATTTATTGATAAAGTGAAATTATTCTTTTTAAGGAAGACAACTCATAAAGAAAGTAAAAGTCTTTTGATACAGCCAAAACCAAAGATTTTTGAATAACTGAAAATCACTTTCATCAAGATAAAAGAGTTAAACTTTAATATTTTTAAATAAAATTCAACTTGTTATATTTAATAAAAATATAAAGATTCAATAAAGAAAAATAAATACTAATAATAATTCATTTACTTAGGAATTGAAAACTATTTAATAGAAACAAATAAAGGCTAATAATAATTTATTAACCTAGGTATTGATACTACTTAATGATTGATTGATTGTAACTGAAATTATGACAACCAAAAGTTAATCAGCTATGCACCCTCTTGGTCTTACTGATGACTAAATTTTCAATTGGACCCTTATTACAACTTGCAATAAAACCAAACTAAAGTCCTTTGATTGATTAATCCAAAACAAAATTTGGTCAACCAACAATACTTGTTGAAGAGTTTTTTTTTTCTTCCCTTGTTATATAGCCCTTGTCATAGGTCATGTCCACATCATTTTCTCCCTCTTGAAAAGGATTTGTCCTCAAATTGAATTCGTCATCTACATAAAAAAGAGATAAGTCTGACAAATTGAATGTAGAATAAACATTATACTCACTTTTTGTGGCTAAATAGTTTTCTCTCACTTCAAGTGTTTCACTCTTCTTTTGGTCACTTTTTTTCTTCTCAAGTATTTCACTAACGCTCTCTTTTTCTTTCTTCTCTTGAAAAAAAAATTCTCTCATTTTCTTTTTATCCTTACACATTTCTTATGGACTCAAATGTTTTAGCACAATCTTCTTGTCTTAGTGCATGAAAGAGATCTTGTTGGTGAACCCGTTATGATTGACTCTTTTATCAAATTGTCACGGTCTCCCCAAAAGTAAGTGACTGGCTTCCATAGGAACAACATTACAAAATACCTTATCATTGTATTTTCCAATGAAAATGTTCACTTTAACTTACTTCCTCACTTGCACCTCTCCATCCTTACTAAGTTATTGAAGTTTATAAGGTCTAGGATGTGGTTTAGTAGCTAAATTTAGCTTTGACACTAATCTAGCACTAATCACATTGGTGCAACTACCTCTATTTATGATCATCATGCACACCTTGTCATTGATTAAACATTTAATGTGAAAAATGTTTTTTCTTTGGCTTTCTTCCATAGGCTTTAATTGGTCATCAAGTCATCACCTAATTATCAATAAATCTCCCTTTGGAATCTCATTCTCCTCTATGTCCTCACTCTCCTCTCTCTCTTCAATCTCAGATTCACTTATATATTCTCTCTCTCTAAGAACCATAAATCTTTTGTTAGAGTACTCATAAGTATAGTATCCTAGGCCTTGACATTTAAAACATTTCACATATCTACTTCTTTTAAAGGGTTATTCTTTAGACTTTGAAGGAGATTTTTGTAGGAATAGGTGTGGAACTACTAGAAGTAACAACTTCACCTTTCTTGCCTTTGTCCTTCCAACTTGAAGATCCAAAGTTGGTAGAGCTCTTCTCAGTCACTTCTTTTCTTTTGAATTGTTGCTCTACTCGAATTGCTTTATAAAATAAATCCTCCATATCAACAAACTCCTGCAACTCAACAATATCACGTATATCAATATTCAAACCGCCAATAAATCGGGTCATAATTACCTCTTCATCTTCTTTATTCTTTGCTTGAATCACGAGCATGTCCATTTCCTTGAAATACTCCTCAACCCCCTTGTAACCTTGAGTAAGTTTTTGGAGTTTAAATTTCAAGTCCCTTAATAATTAGCCGGCACATACCACTTCCTCATGATCCTTTTCATCTCAATCCATGTATCAACCATTGACTCTTCATTTTTATCTCTCTCCTTTTGTAGCTTGTTCCACCAAACAAGAGTATAGTCAGAAAATTTCGTGATTGCAAGTCTCACCTTTTGGGTCTCTTTATAATTGTTGCATGAAAAAATATGTTATGTTTTCATCTCCCACTCCAAATATGCCTTCAGATCACTTTTTTCTTTAAACGGAGGAATGTTAAGTTTGACTCCTTCAAACCTACTTTGTCTTACTACTTCATCATTCATTCTCCTATTTCTCCTTTCTTCTTCATATTCGGGATATTCTCCAACCAGTTCAATCTTTCATGGAGCTTATTATTATATCATATCATTAATTCTTCCAAATATTGTACCAATACCCTGAAATGTACTAATTTATACTTTTTTATTGTAATTTTTCTCCTTATTGCTATCAACATGATTTTGATATTCTTTAGAAGCCCAACATTAAAGCGATGGAAATGAAGAAAATATAGAACCCAAATGCAAAGTATCTAAAAGGTAAAAACATCTACTGAGAATGGATTGAATATAGAAATTCAGCGAGAATACTGCAACTCAAGAAATGCAGGAAACCGAACATTGTTACAATTGAGAATCTACAGGCCGAAAGAAAGATAGTTTCATCCATAAATTTGTCACAAAACTTAGACTATTACCTAACATTTTATCATTTCCGGTCTGGTGATGTTCAATAACTGAGGAAAAACCTATTTCTTCTCCGGATACTACACTCACACCAGTTGAAGCCCAGGTTCATTTTGATGACCTGGGATTATATTAGTAGTGGAGCTAGTTAATAATTTCTAAAATTTGTGTAATAATATCCTTGAATGAAGAACATTGGACACCTCATGTAGGAAAAATAAAGATTTATAACTTAATTATTTTTAGTCCTTAAATTTAAGAGGACTATAATTTTAGTCCCACAAACTTAATATAGTTTATTTTAATTCTTTAAAATTGAAAAAAAATAAAATCAACCTCTAATATTGAAACTAAATGACTGAAATGAGTGATGTTATAAAATTGTTTTTAATTCTTCGAATTTAGAGTTTTTATAAATTAAACTTTTATTTTAATAAATTTAAAAACTGAAATGAATAATAATTAAACCATAATCTTTAGAACTAAAAAAATAATTAACCAAAATTTATTATCGAAATGAAAATCTTTGATTAATACACAAGTGAAGAAATTGAGTGAACGAATGAGGAAAGGATTTGTCAACCCAGTCTCAATATTGCATTTTTCCAACGAATTCTAAAATGTAGTATAGTTTTGAAACTAGGTTTTCCTAATACACAACGCATTTTGGGGCATTTAGCGACCACCATGGCATTTTCTTAATTATTTCGAATTTTTCTTTCCCACTCCAGAAGTTGATTGGATGGTGACCCTAGATGATTCACTTCTATCTGGAAATCATCAATTATCCACACTTATGTCCTTCACCTGTACTTTTTCTTAGCCCCTTTTACTTCTTTACATTTCTTCACCGAATGTGTATCAAACAATCTGCAAATTGCTTATGTGCTCCTGGTTGTAGTTTTCCTTCGGCTAATCCTGTTCAAGGTTCGACATTGTCTAGGCTAGAATCTTTTGGCAAGGAAATACCAGCATGCAATGAACTAGGGTACATTAATATCAGACTTGTTTTATTTCATAGACTGATACCACGTATCCCCCCTCTCCCACCTTCCCAAAAACAAAAATATATAATCAAAGATCCAGTGAAAACAAGTTCTAATTCCCTAGGTTCAATGTAACTACAGAGAATACACATAAACCATGACATTATCTAACTAAATGTAACAGCTGCAGAAAGTGTTATTATAATATAAGAGTCCCTAACAAATGCAATATAAACTAGTCCACTAACAAATTTGAAAATTTACCAAACTTAAAGATATGGATGTATGATTACATCCATTTTTTGTTCGTACAATATTTTGTTTGATTTGTTCCATATAGGAGTTAGCACAGGCAAAGGTGAACAAAATCATATTGAATTTCATAGTTCTCTAATAAAAGAATGTGCTGAAACTAAAGGAGTAGAAACATACTTTGAATAACTGTAATGATGATGACATTTCTTTAGAGAAACCTGAACCATGCTGCAGATGCAGGCAGAAGCATCATAATTTTCAAGAAAATAATGCTAATAAAAGTCAGACAAGTTAAATTTAATATAAATTATAAATGTTATAATCCTACAAATATGTATTTTTGTATGGTAATCCAAATTTCTGAAGCCATGTATAACTTGTGCCAGCCTCAGTTTTTCAGAATCTAACAAATTTGAATCTTGAAGCCTAACAAGGCTACCTAGTGAATCTTTCTTCCACACCCACAATTCTCCAGTAAGTTACATATGTCTAGATATATACAAAAATAATAAGCTGATGGTCTGTCAATGAAGGTTCCAGAATGGTATGAAACCTGAGTTTATTGTTCAGGAATTCACTAGGTTAGGCAACAAGGAATTAGGCGCAAGTCACAACAAGGTGAAATCACCAATGAATTCATATCTTCATTGTTCAAACTATGTATGCAACCACAAACTTCATCTTGATAAAACAAGACATCTTTTTGTCAACATTAAGGAGTAGTTATCGAAAGAAGGGGGCTATACTATAGTTAATAGTTAGAACCATAGAAGCCATAAGATGTTCATCATCAATGTTTCTTCCATACAAGGCTGGTCATGAGTCCATCTGAATTGAGCTGCCAGGGATCAAGGAATTACTCAAATAGCACCAAGACAACATAAGAATAACTCAAACCTGCCTCCTCAACATGAACTCAGAAGAAACGCCAATTGGGATTTGCATATGCAGCTAGACTTATTCCAACCAAATCATCAATTACAATTATTAGTTGTGCAGAGGAGAAACAAAGGCATAGCTCTCCATGTATAACGATGGCCCAAAAGTAATTGAATGCTCTATCATGTATTGACAAATACAATCCGCCAAGTCAATAGTATGTTCACGATATGAAACAAAACTTGGTTACTGTTCCAGAAAAAGGACTAAGAAGCCATTACTTCCATTGATAGATTATAGTACTGCCCTCAGTCTGGATCCTTTACAAGAAGCTGGTCCGTGAATTAATAGTGTGTTTATGCAGCACAAAAGTATATATGAGCATAGACACACGTAAAGGTATAGGGTTGCACCATGGGCATCTTAAAAATAGGACAAACCAATTTCCAGGTGTGTGCATAAAATGTTGGAGGTCAAGTTTGCTATGCTTTGGTGCATTGTATCCAGGAAAAACGTTTTATGTCAGGTTTCCCATTTGAAAGAAAGGTGTGATGAATTTGAGAGGATCACAACATAAACTAGAGTCATAGTCATGTTCATGCGCCATCACTTGATTGAATAGCTTTTACTAGAGTCTCAGAAAGATGTCTGTCAAGCGTTAAGCCTTTCTCCATCATCTGATCCCAAACCCTACAGGCCAGTGAAAGTTTTTTCCCCCTTATAAGCCCTCCAACTATCAACTTGAAAGTTACCTCATCAGGGTACAAACCGTTCCTCTGCATTTCATCATATAGACGCATGGCATCCATAACTCTAGAAGCCTTACAAAATCCATTTACAAGTGCATTGTAAGAGATGACATCCGGATTTACCCCATTCTCCACCATGTCACGAAAAACATTATGAGCCGTTTCAACCTTCCCAGTCTTGCACAGATGATCAACTACTGCGGTATAGAATATACGATCAGGAAGAATACCCATCTTTGTCATTTCATCAAGCAGTTTCTTAACCACTTGGATACTTCCTTCTCTTAGAAAGGCATCTATAAGTATATTAAACGTCACCATATCTGGCTTAATCCCCTTCCCACACATCTCCCCAAACAACTCATAACCCCTCCTAGTACGGCGCAACTTACAGAATGCCGTGATAACCGTGTTATACGAAACAACATCACACAGCCCTTTGGTCTGCATCCTCTCAACCAGCATCAAATAAGCCCTGTCCACCATATTGGCCTTGCAAAAACCCTTCAACAGCTCATTATAGCTATACAAATCCGGCTCCACCCCGCTCCGCTCCATCGTCTCCACCAACCGCACCGCCTCATCTACCATCCCCTCGTCACAACAGTAATTCAACAGTATATTGTAAGTAACCAAATCCGGCACACAGCCATTGCGGCTCATAAACGCTTTAATCTTCATAGCCTTATCAACCCTCCCCATCCTACAAAACCCATCAATCAAAGTATTGTAAACCAAGATATTAACCTTCACCCCACCCTTGATCACACCAACAACAAGCTCATAAGCCAAATCAACGCGCCGCCCACAGCACAAACCAACAACAAGAGCAACACAGGCTTTAAAATCAGGGCTCAACCCTTTGCCAAGCAAACCACGCCAAACTTCAGCAGCCTCATTGAAGCGTTGAGCTTTGCACAACGCGTCAACGACAATAGTGTAAGAAACAACGTCGGGGTCTCTTCCCTTGGAGGGCATGGAGTGGAAGAGTTCGAGAGCGGTGTCTAAGCGATCGTGGCGGCACAAGAAGCTGAGGTAAGTGTTGAAGGCCCAAATGTCGGGGACGAAGCCGAGAGAGTGCATGTCGAGGAGTAGGTCGTGGATGAGGGGGATGTTGCTGGGGGCGGAGCAGAGGGCGGAGATGAAGCGGGAGTAGGTGAAGGGGAGGAGGGAGAAGCCGCGAGGGATAACGTGATGGCGATAGTAGTGGTGGGCCAGATGGAGGCGGGAGTGGCGGAGGAGGACGCCAATGAAGCGGTTGTAGTCCACGCTGAAGACGCGGCAATTGGATTGGGTCATTTGATCGAACAGGTGGATAGCGTGGTTGATGAAACCAGCTTTTACAAACTTGGATATGTGAGAGCGGTATGCGAGGCGGTGTGCGCCAATGCTGCTCTGATACATATCAAATCCAGGTGTTTCCAAAGGCATAGCAGCATCAGCAACGCCAAAACCAAACCCTGATTCATTCACTTTTTCTCTCTATAGCTCTCCCAGTAAATAGTAATATTCGTTCCTTGGTTCGTTTGTTCGTTCCTTCCGCGTCATGAGTTATGAACGCAGCAACTGAAGTTATAAAAAGGCACGCCAAGTGTTTGCGCGTGTGTTTCTTACACTTGGTGCACTGCTTGTTGCTTGTTTTGGCTTTGCTTATTCTCTTGTCACTCCATTTGCAACAATAAGCGAGAGGAGAGGAGGGAAAGGACAGTTTTTTATCTTTTTTTTTTTTTTTTCCATTCAACGACTGATTGGGCTGGGCTTGCAGTGCTTTTGTTGAAGTCAATTGTTTGTTTTGATTTTCTTTTTTGCATACAATGATCCAAAAATGCACAAATATGAAGATATGGTTGGCCCATGATAATGACACTGTTGACCTTCACATATCTTATCCTATTTTCCTTTTTTACAACAAAATTATTTTTACTTGCTGTTTTAGATTATATTATAGAAAAAATAGATTTTATTTATGTGCACTAAAGTCCCATTTGAAAAACATAAATATTGAAGTTTGAAATGCTTCTTCAATTTATTATAGATAATATTGGTAATAATCAACTAATTGATGAATGTTTATATTTAATCAATAAAAGATATATAAATTTATTTCAAAATTATTTTTTATTTTTTTATTGACAAAATATGTAAAAATTAATTATTTAATTTTTTTATGGTTTTATGCTAATCTCTGAAAAAAAATTAGAAGGTGTGGAACATAAGTATTACTTAAGGCATTTGTATTGTAATTTCAAGAATAAACTTGGATGGGTAATACTCATGAGAGTTCTGATTAGGACAACAAAAATAATATATTATCAAACATGAGAGGTAAAAATAAAAGAGATAAAAAAAATTAAATCAAGGAACATATTAATGGTTAATTATAATTTTGCATAAATATTGGTTTGCTATCCTAGATGTGATTTTGTAACTAGAAATAAACATTGGCTAATTATCAATAATTTATTTGGGTATTTCAATAGTATAATATTATTAACTAGAAATAAACTCATAATCACAATGATGACATACTTTATGAGTGTTTATCATTTTCATGGATAAATGATCAAAATATCTTAAAATGTAAATGTCACGAAACCAACAAAAATAAGATCGGATAGATAGATTTAGAAAAATGGAAATAGATTCCCTATAAAATTGAAGTTACTCATAACTTTTGCAAAAAAAAAAAATGTAATTAACTTTTAAAAACAGTACTTATAAATATTATTTTTTAGACTTTGTGGATATCTTTATAGACATTTTCTCCTACAACTAATTATAGACTTGAACAACCCGAAGATTATGTTTATGCATATGAAAATTGCTATTTCTCCAATTAATAGACAACAATTGTGGATAAAAAATGCACAATAAATTATACCTCCATTATATAAAATACCTCTACAAAGGTTTAGAAATTTGAGAAAAAGAGAAAAATTTGGTCACAATTCTATAGGTCGTAGGAAGACAAATCACATCAATCAACGCTGAGAATAAATTTCATAACGAGCCAAAAAGAAAAGGAAGAAGAGAAACTAATGCTCCTATGAATTCACATAAACTATGCAATAATCACAAGGATACAAATCTTAATATAACATATTTTTAGGGTCACAAACCAATTCAAACAATATCATTAAGAATAACACATTAAAATTTATTAAAAATATGATATTTTATTAGACTCACTAGCCTGTATTATTTTTACTCTTTTTTATTTATTTATTTGATAACTACTTAATTTAATTGTTTTTGTATAGTGGTATGGTTGGTTTGTTATATCCTGTGTCCACAGTACTATTTATTTTAACTAACCATTATTAACAAGTAGTATCACAGTCATATGAACAAATGTATAATTCTATCAAGTCTTTACTTCTTTTATTATATTATTTATTAAATTTAGTTATTCCTAAATCAAGTTAAAAAAATAAGGGATTGAAAACACATTATCATGAAAAGGAACTTCCACTTATTCTAATACAATCTTATTCAACTTAATTATTTCGTTAAAATAAAGTTCTTATACTTAAACATGGAAAAACATTATATATTACTTATTATAATTGATTTTCAAAATAAATATATATAAGATATAAACATAATTATAAATGTCCAAAACAAAACAAAAAAAAGTTATTTTTCATATTTTCTTTTATTTTTTATTTTGAAGTTTTTGGTACTCGGTTATGTACTTCAATAAGTAAATGAAAAGAGATTATCGGCAAAGCTCAAGTTAACAATATGATAATATGTTAACAAAATTATTTTAAAAATAGTCAACTTACCTCTTATATAACTACCACAAAATATTTATATGATCATAAGTAATATTATTGAGAATGGTTGGATGTGGGACTATTAAGTTTGTGTTTGAATTGAGCTATGGATTGTTCATAAAGATGGAGTGAATTTAAGGAATGAAATGTTATTTTCTATTTAAAAAAAATGAGAATGGGGAGAGAATATTTCATCACGAAAGAATGAGATAAAATGCAGAGAAAGGAGTGCTTATAACCAAGTTGTCCTCGTACATAGAAAAACACTTAATCCAATAAGTAAATTTATATAATCAATTATATAATATAAATAATCGATTATATAAATATGAAAATAAATATTATTATATTTATTATATATATGAGCTAATATTAATAATATATAATATTATAACTATACGTGATTTTATATTTTTTATTATAATAAAATTAAAATTATATTTAAATAAAAAATTATTTTTAAATAATGTTATTATTTTTTTTATTATAAACTTTTTAATTATTTTTTCAATTTGTACTTAAAAACAATTTTTATATATGATTTTTAATTAATAATTTAAAATTGATTTTTATATATTTTAAAATTAATTACTTTAAAATTATTTATTTGTCTATAAAATAATTTATATTTATTATTATTAAATTTTAATTAAGAATATTTTAGTAATTTAATAAGTTATTTTTATTAATATATTAAATTTTTATATTCAATTATATTATAATTATTATTTTACTTAATTTATCTATTCTTACATCAAGAATATTTTGATCATTATATTAAAAAAATTATTATTCAAATTTTTTATATGACAAATCTACTTAAATTTTTTTAAATTTATTTTATTTTCTTTCATCTAAACAATCTTAATTTTTTTTAATTAGTCTCAAATCTCGACCTTAACTTAAACTATTTTTCTTAAACAAGTAATGCAACTTAACTTTGATTTTTATTTTATTAGTCCATTAAAAAATAGTTACAGCGTAATTGAGTTTATAAATAAAACAATAAATCATTAACAAAAATGATAACAATAAAAAGTAAGGGAATAAAACCAATGTCAAATAAAAATTTTCTGGATCTTTATATTTTTCGAAGGAAAAACATTACGAGAAGGAAACAAACCCATAAAAGGAGAAAAATAAGAGTCAAATAATATCAATTCAAAAAAAAAAAAAAAAAAAGAGAAAGGGAAGACGAAGAAAGAGAAGAAAGTTATAAGTTAACGAAACCATGGGATTCTCATATTTTATTTTTAATTTGCATTTAAATAAATATTTAAATTTAATTATTTTTATTTATTTTAATGCATATAACATTATCTTAACTCATTAGTTATGTAATATTATTAGTCCACCATAACTATTTTTATTATTTTATATAAATATAAGAATCAAATAGATCTATAATTTATAACAGACAAAATGTAATTTTTTAAAATAATTGTGCAGTTACTTAACAAAACTGGTAGAAAAAGAAATTTATCCTTCAAATAATGTGTAATATTTTATGTAAATGGATGTAAATCGGCTGTAATATTTGTTTGGTTAGGTGGTGTTATGTAACCAGAAATATATTGAATCATGTTAAAATTAAAAGTAATTACAATTTGATTTTCTTATTAGTATAACATTCTACTGAAAATAATAATAATAATTTTTAAAAAAAGTAGTATCTGATTTAATGTTATTATTTATAATTTCATGCGCGTACTGAGTTGAAATAGGTACTGAAAATTTTGTAAATTTTGACAAAAGGAATGTGACATCTTTTAATGGTGTACTATTCATGTTCATAGCATAAAAAAAATTCTGCAGATAATAAACAAAATCAATTCAAAATCGAATTCTAGAAGAAACAACCAGTATTTGGTTGGTCAAACTTTTGTTTCATTGTAACATCTACTAATAAAGAACAATTATTATAGTTTGACTACGAAATATGAAAAACTCTTAAATATTTAAACCATTTCAGAAACACAATAATGACTGACTATATATAAATAAACAGTAGAACCAAAATTAAATTCCGTAGGACTTGCTTCACAGATTTTTAATGCACAATAAAATTGCACCTTATATTTATATTAAATCTGGTAACACAATTAATAGGAGAGAAGGGAAGTCAATTAAAAATGTGTGACATTAAATGCGGATTTTAAAGAGGCAAATTGTTATATTTGAGAAAATGTGTCTCAAATTGAGGTGGCACTTTTTGGTCAAATTGAAAGACTATGACCATCAACTTCTACCTTTTTTTTTTTTTTCCTTTCATTTTTTATGCGAACTTCAAATTCTTCTTCACTTCCTTCTGCTTCATTTTTTTTCTTCTCCATTTCTCTCTTCTCTGCAAGATCACCCCTCTCTAAATACCCATGTTTGAATTTCAGTATATATAAAAAGAAAAACCGAGTCAGAGAGTGAGATACAATCCATCATTTCAGGTGAGAAAAAACTCGAAACCTAGCCTCAAACCCAAAACTTTCCATTTACCATTTACACTTTCTAAGCTTTTGCTTTCAACCCATTATTACTTCTGTTAATGGTTTGAAACCCAGTGAAAAAATTTCGCGTCTTGTCGATTATCCATGATGGGAGAAGATAGTAACAACACCGACACCGGTTCTCAGCGGAGAGCACATTCCCGATCAGTTTCCTGGACCGACCGGTCTCCGGTGACCCGGAAACCGCCGCGACCACTTCAGCCTCTTTTCATCAGGAAACACAGTGTCAAGGACTGGCCAAGCGCTGGCAGCGACGATCTCAACGAGTGGCTTCCGCCACCGACCCCAAGAGGGTCCACCAAAGGATCATCGAGCTCGGGTTCGGGTCAAGTTTTTCAGCTTAGGAGAGACAAGTTCGCTTTCTACGACAAAGAATGTTCCAAAATCGCGGAGCACGTGTACTTGGGGAGTGACACGGTGGCAAAGAGCCAGGAGCTTTTGCGGCGGCACGGGATAACGCACGTGCTCAATTGCGTAGGGTTCGTTTGCCCCGAGTATTTCAAAACCGACTTCGTCTACAAAACGCTATGGCTGCGAGACAGTCCCTCGGAGGACATCACCAGCATTCTCTACGACGTTTTCGATTACTTCGAGGATGTCCGACAACAGGGTGGGCGCGTGCTCGTGCACTGCTGCCAGGGCGTGTCGCGCTCGACCTCGTTGGTCATCGCGTATCTCATGTGGAGGGAGAGCAAGAGCTTCGAGGACGCGTTTCACTTCGTGAAGAACGCACGCGGCATCACGAATCCGAACATAGGTTTCGCGTGTCAACTGTTGCAGTGTCAGAAGCGCGTCCATGCCACGCCGCCGAGTCCTAGTTCTGTTCTCAGAATGTATAGGATGGCTCCTCATTCTGCCTATGACCCTCTTCACCTTGTTCCTAAGATGGTTAACCACCCTTGCGCCCACGCGCTTGATTCGCGTGGGGCATTTATTGTGCATGTTCCTTCTACTTTATATGTGTGGATTGGGAAGGAGTGTGGCTCGGTGATGTGTTGCAAGGCGCGCTATGCAGCTTGTCAGGTTGTTCGATATGAGAGGGCCTCTGGGGAGATTGTTAGTGTGGTTGAGGATGAAGAGCCTGAAGAGTTTTGGGTTGCTCTTTCTAACAAGGAAGTGTTGGTGGAGGATAAAGAGGTCAAGAATGTGGAAAGAATGGAGGTTGATGTGGGGGTATATCCCCGGAGGGTTGAGGAATATGATTTGGATTTTGGGATTTTTCATAAGGCACTTGCTGGTGGGGTTGTTCCACCTTTTTCTTTGTCTAATGCTGGATCAGAAAATTGCCTCCCTTCAAGGGAAAATGGGTGGGGGAGATTGACTAGGAAGCTTACTAGTGGTATCATGAAAGGGTTGCTCGCATCCTCTAAGTGCTGTGAGTCAAGTATGAACATTGAAGAGGAAAATCAACATAAGAATGTTGATCCTTTGCCACCATCTTCAAAACCTTTCTATACTAAAGATGCATCTAAATCAGAGAGTTGCTCTTTACTTCAGAAAGAAGGTGTCTCATCAACTTCAGAGGCTTTTTTGGCTAATCGCACCTTGGTAAGGGAAGAGTCTAGTTTAACGTTCGAAGGGTCTAACCCCTCCTTTGCAGAGTGCAGATGGAGTAATCAGCCACCTCGTATGGTGCTACCCTCAACCGGCAAATCGTCCCGCGCCAGTAGGATCCGAGTAAGATCTAAGTCAATCTCATTGCCTGCCTTAGATGATACATTGATGAGGGATGCCAGTTGCAAGCAATTCGACCATGAAAACAGTGGAAAATAGCTAATTTAGATTGTGATATCATCAGTGCTTCAGTTGAGGTTAATGACAAAGGTCATTGTGATGTGGTATGTGTCATGTAGGATAGGTCGTTATGCTTGAAGTAGAAAACTTCTAAGGGAAAAGTTAACATTATTACAATGGTAAGTTTCTTCTTGTATAGATATATATAGCCATAGTTGGCTCAAATGATCTATTCCTCTTGTAGTTAAATGTTCACTCATGCTTGAATATTGGTGGATGCCTGCAAGGTGTGGTAGCGTAGGCTCAGCAATAATACATTAATAACCACAGAAGACATGCACTCAATCCACTGATAGCACCTCAAGTATAACAATTATTAAACTTCAGTGAATGGAAAGTCTATTTTTCTTGTCTTTGCTTGTCCCAGCTACCAGTCTAATGTTACATTCAGAATTTTTTTCATTTCTTTAATTTCATGGTCATTATCCTTGGAGAAGGACAATGGTTAGTAAAACTGATATAAAATTCGAGCAGAAGTGTCACCTTTGCAGGGAATCATGCAAGCAGATGTTATAGACGTTATCATCATCCTTCACCGTACCATTTCGACAAATAAATTACATCAGTTTCAGAGACAAAATTTCATTTACTTGATGGTATCAGAAGGTTTATTATAATTCTGTGTGTTTATTTATACTTATGACATAAAGTATTATGTACAGTAATCACTACTATAGAATAGGCTAATAAGCAAAAAGCGTATCAAAAGTAGACTCCATAATATTAGAAAAAAGCTTACTCTATATAAAAGTTAGTCAAACTGATACTTAAACCATCAATATTTATTTATTTATTTGTTTTTATTATGATTGACTTAGCAGATATTTTAACGTTTTATTTTCTTTATTCTTTTTTTTTAAACAGACTCTGCATTGTTTTATTTTCTTAATTACAATTTAATTTGTGTCCACTTATATCATATTCAAATATTTTTTAATACATTTTTTTATTGTAGATGTTATTCCTAATTTCATCGTTGATTTTAAATGATCACCTAGAAGTGTATTCTATTCCATTTGACTGGAAGTTATATTATTATTAATATTTTAATAAGATTTAATTTTGTTGTGATTTATTAATCATTTAAGTTTTTATTAGCTTTTCGTATTATCACTACAAAAAAACGCTTATTATCTACGTGTAAAATCCGTAGGTAATGACAAAAATTCGTAGGTAATGTCACTTTACCTACGATTTCTTCCGTAGAAAATCCGTAGGTAATTTGGTCGTAGGTAATGCACTCGTTGACATTACCTACGGATTATAATCCGTAACAAAATATTTTTATTTATTATATTTTTATAACTTTGAATTATTATTAGATTAAGAGAATTTTTCGTAGAAAATCGTAGGTAATTTGGTCGTAGGTAATGCACTCGCTGACATTACCTACGGATTATAATCCGTAACAAAATATTTTTATTTATTATATTTTTATAACTTTGAATTATTATTAGATTAAAAGAATTGTCATTAGCAGGATTCGAACCCAATACCTCGAGTTGGAGACTGATACTCCAACCACTAAGCTATTAGGTTATTTTGAAAATAATTTACAAATAAATTATATTTATATTTATCCGTGTAAATATATAAATATAAAATATATAAATATAAAATATATATAAATATAAAATATATATAAATATAAAATATATATAAATATAAAATATATATAAATATAAAAAATATATATAAATATAAAATATTTAAATATAAAATATATATAAATATAAAATATATATAAATATAAAATATATATAAATATAAAATATATATAAATATAAAATATATATAAATATAAAATATATATAAATATAAAATATATATAAATATAAAAAATATATAAATATAAAATATATATAAATATAAAATATATATAAATATAAAATATATTTATATTTTGATATATTTATATATTTATATATTTATACATTTATATATTTGTATTTATATATTTATATATTTATATATTTATATATTTATATATTTATATTTATATATTTATGTATTTATATATTTATGTATTTATATATTTATATATTTATCTATTTATATATTTATGTATTTATGTATTTATATATTTATGTATTTATATATTTATGTATTTATGTATTTATGTATTTATGTATTTATATATTTATGTATTTATATATTTATGTATTTATATATTTATGTATTTATATATTTATATATTTATATATTTATATATTTATATATTTAAATATTTAAATATTTATATATTTAAATATTTATATGTTTAAATATTTATATATTTATGTATTTAAATATTTATGTATTTATATATTTATGTATTTATGTATTTATGTATTTATGTATTTATGTATTTATTTATTTTATATTTGTATATTTGTATATTTATATATTTGTATATTTGTATATTTGTATATTTATATATTTGTATATTTGTATATTTATATATTTGTATATTTGTATATTTATATATTTATATATTTATATATTTATATATTTATATATTTATATATTTATATATTTATATATTTATATATTTATATATTTATATATTTATATATTTATATATATATTTATATATTTATATATTTATATATTTATATATTTATATATTTATATATTTAGATATTTAGATATTTAGATATTTAGATATTTATATATTTATATATTTATATATTTATATATTTATATATTTATATATTTATATATTTATATATTTATATATTTATATATTTTATATTTTATATTTTATATTTATATATTTTATATTTACATATTTATATATTTTATATATTTTATATTTATATATTTATATATTTATATATTTATATATTTATATATTTATATATTTACACGAATTAATATAAGTATAATTTAGTTGTAAATAATTATTAGAATATCCTAATAGTTTAGTGGTTGAAGTATCGGTTTTCAATTTTAAGGTCTTGGGTTCGATTCTTGCTAGTGACAATTTTTTTAGTTTAATATAATTTATCTACGGATAGTAATTCAGTAGAATTACCTACTGAATTACCCACGGATGATATTACCTACTGAAAATATCCGTAGGTAATGGATAATTACTCACGGATAGAATTCGTAGGTAATGTACACTTTACCTACGGATAGTAATTACGTAGGTAATTACCTACGGAATTATCCACGGATTACATTACCTACGGATAATATCCATAGGTAATGGATAATTACCTACGGATAGAATTCGTAGGTAATATCCGTAGGTAATGTACAATTTACCTATGGATTTTCATCCGTGGGTAATATCCGTAGGTAATATCCGTAGGTAATGGATAATTACCTACGGATAGAATTCAGTAGGTAATATCCGTAGGTAATGTACAATTTACCTACGGATTTTCATCCGTGGGTAATATCTCGTAGGTAATGTAAAATTTACCTACGGATTTTTATCCGTGGGTAATATCCGTAGGTAATGTAAAATTTACCTACGGATTTGTATCCGTAGGTAATATTCAGTAGGTAATTGACTTTTTTTGTAGTGTATTATTATTAATTAATTAATTGGTGTTCCAATATATAAAATAAGCCCGTGGATAATAAGACTAGTTGCTAACAAACAAGGTAAATCATGCATATTATATATATATATATATATATATATATATATATATATATATATATATATATATATATATATATATATATATATATATATATATATATTTTTTTACACAATATAAGAACATAAACACATGTTGATTGTACACTTCCCATAGCTTGTCCGAGTTTCGTTTCATAACAAGAAAGAGATCCAACAACAAAAACCTTCTAAAACCATTCATAAAAGAAATATATTTTATCACGTTTTATTATGACTACCAATTATAATAAAATTATGTGATAATTTTTACTATATGATAATATTTTCGTAAATATAAAAATATATATTGTGATAGTTAAAATTTAAAAAGACAAAAAAAATCATTCATATATAAGTCACTGTGATATTGTTTCTGGTGAAATTTCGATCGATTTTGACTCTTAAGATATTTTGATCCTAATCAAAATTCTACCACGTAAGTTCTTTTTACTTAGGCTAGCAAATTAATTTTCAATCGAGATGCGTATGCGGATCGAATTTTGCCCGATTTCAAAGATACTATTTTTGGTGTTTTATATTTAAAGTGCTCGAAGTAAAGAAAGCAGAAAAATTCGTGAAATCGAAAAGTAGTGCTGAAACATTAGATTGCAAAGAAACGTAACATGCAAAAATCTTAAATTTGCTTTAAGTATAAAAGACAGGGAATCGAAACAGCAGAAATGTAAATAACAGGAAGTATAAATGACAGTAAATCAAATGTGCAGAAAGTATAAATAACTTGGAAATCGAAATTGCATTAATGTTAAATGACAAGAAAACTTAAACGCGGAAACTTAACTTTCATTGAATTGAAATGACCAAAAATACAGAAACATAAAATTGCTAAAGATAAATTGCATCAAAGTAAATTACCAGGGAAAATACAGAAAACGGTAAAGGTACTCAATGAACATGGAAATCCAGATTGCCAGAAGATTCATGATGTTCGTCGTTTCTCCGGTAGACTTCTCACTAATGATTCTGTTCTCTGCCAATTTTCTGCTCCCCTTTCCTTTCATCTTGCGCCCTATTTATAAAGCATCCTTTAAGCAAGTAACTTCTTAAGAGCAGTTAATGAAAACTGCTACCACGTCCTACGTGCATGTTGCAGTTTCTTCTTCGGTGTTAAAACTGCACCCACGTTCCCATGATCTTCGACTTCTATCATGGTTTAAAAACTGCCTTCACGTTCCCATACATGAGGTAACTGCTTCTTTGATCGACCTTTGCCATCGCTTGCCACGTTTGACGTACACGTCAATTGTTTCTTTCTTTATAACTTATCCGGGATTTCGATACATGGGTTAGCCTTTCTCCGATGTTGATTTCGAAATCTCGAGAACGTTTGACTTGCCTTTGATTT